TTGGTGGTGATGAATGTGTCAAATTAGTGTGAGATACTGTGGAGGGGGAGTGTTGAGGGAACTCCCTCTTCTATTCCCATTATCCAGAAAAATCACAATTGTTTCTAGAATAAAAAGCATTCGTTAAGGAACTGGGAGATTGTTGTGTATTTGGAGGGTGGCATTCCAGATGTCTGAGTTTTACTGTCCCGTTATTTTCCTAAGTGATCTCTAATGGATACGTTTGGGGGGCTGGAGTGATAGTACAGCCAGTAGGGCACTTGCCTTTACACATAGCGACCCAGGATCTATCCTAGGCATCCCATATTTGGTCCCTCGAGTATACCAGTAGTAATCCCCTTAGTGCAGAGGCAGGGGTAACCCCTGAGCACCACAGGGTATGACCACAAACAAACAAACAAACAAAAATATAACGACTATGTTTGCTTTTGGAATCAGACCCAAAAAGTGTCACAACTCTGCTTTCTTTTACCTTTGTTTAGGGTCCCACCTAGCAGTGCTTGGACTTACTCCTGCCTCTGAGCTCAGGGATCACTCCAGGGGCCATGGGGTTGGAGGGGTGAGGGTCCAGGTGACCATATGAGGTGCTGAGAACATGCCCAGATCAACTGTCTGCTTAGCAAACTCGCTAATCTCCTTACTATCGCTCCAGTTCCCATAACTAGAAAAAGAAATAGAAAAAGTGAAGGGAAAATCCTTTTAGAGATGAAATGCAAGCATAACTAAGAAGTATAATTAGAGTGTTCCTGGTGCAGTGATTAAAACCCACGTCATCCCTCCGCACCCGGGAGACAGGCCTCGAGGGAAGGGCCGTGCCTGAGGCCCTCGGCAGTTTTCCCGTCTGGAATCTGCATTTGCCCATGGTACAGGGGCACCGGGCAGGGCCAAAGCGCTGCTCCCAGGTGAGCCAAAGCGTCTGGCCCCGCAGGCAAATTAGATCCCAGAAAATCCTGTCCACCAACTTGCAGCTTTCCCGGCCCAATTCAGCCCCGGGGAAAAGCAGAAGATAAAGATGATCTTCCTACCCACCCCCCTCCACGCTGTAAGAGTTGGTACCACAGGTACGCTCTTCTTTAGAGCCCCCCAAAGGGTCAGTGAAGCAGATACTTATCACCCACCCACCCCTTTTTTTTTTCCTTTTTGGGTCATACCCGGCATTGCACAGGGGTTCCTCCTGGCTCTGCACTCAGGAATTACTCCTGGCGGTGCTCAGGGTCCATATGGGATGCTGGAAATCGAACCCCGGTCGGCTACATGCAAGGCAAACACCCTACCCACTGTACTATTGCTCCAGCTCCCCACCCCCCTTTTAAAGCAGAGGCTCTGAGAGCTGCAGTGACCAAGGCATATGGCACACCCTCGAGGCTCAGGGCTTACCCCAGCTCTGGACTCAGGGATCACTTCTGGAGAGGCTCAGGTGACCAGATGTGATATCGGGGATCCAAGAGGGGCCGGCTGCGTGCAAGGCAAGCCCCTTTACCCCCATATGACCTCTGCAGTCCAAATGTTGCTTTTGGAAACATTTTCCCCCTCATTGTTGTTGCAGTGACAGGAACTGCACACTAGTCATGGTGTCACACACTTGGCTATTTATTTATTTTTGGCTTTTTGGGTCACACCTGGTGATGCTCAGGGGTTCCTCCTGGCTCCACACTCAGGAATTACTCCTGGCAGTGCTCAGGGGACCATATGGGATGCCGGGGATTGAACCTGGGTTGGTTGCATGCATGACACATGCCCTTCCCACTGGACTATCGTTCGGTCCTTTTGTTTCCTTTTGTTGTATTGCACAGCCCTGGCTGTGTACCCTTGAACGTGCTCCCTTATGGTTCTGTGAGTCCCAGAAAGCAGAGTTGCAAGACCCACCATCCTTGGCACATGCAGGCCACCCTACAGATGGAAACTCCTGGCTGGCAAGGCACATGCTTTGAGCTCTGAGCCCCCCAGGGGACCCCTAGAGCCCTGGGTCTCTGCCTTCACCCTGTCCCTGCCTCCTGGAAGCACTAAGTAAGATTTATCTTCCTGGGCGCACCCTCAGCTTTCGAAGGCACTGGCTGAGCTCAGGAACATAACATTTGGCGAAGCCCCTTCACAGGGGCAAGAGAAGGGGGTGCCTGGTTGTACCCCTGGCTGGGTCCAAGCTGTGTGTCCCTGAACCCTTGTGCTAGCCCTTCCCAGAGCACTGCGGAGCTGAGCAGGCATGAGCCACACCCCGGCCCCCACAGTAGGACTGGCAGGGGGCCAGGCCAAATACTTCAGACTCATTAGTGGGACAAACAGAGCCTGGGCCCAGGCGGTGCCCAGACGCTGTGGCAAGGATGAAGCCGGGGGCAGTGTGCAGTGAGTCCTACCCCTCCCCACTCCCCAGGGACAGTGAGGTACAGGGGCCAGTATAGGGAGCCCCAGAGAGAGCAGGCACACACACACACACACACACACACACACACACACACACACACACACACACAAGCTCTGGCCCTAAAGTGTCTGACAAACGACACTCTGGGAAACTTATGTTATTCTTGTCATGGGGCCATTTCCCAGGCTCTGCCCTGGGTTCTGGGGAGCGGCCCGGCAGGGTGGGGCGGGCTCTCTTGAACCTGGATTTGGAGTCTGGCACCCGCGGAAAGTCCCGTGATGCCTGGCTCGGGGAGGACCTCGGGCAAGCCTCAGGCACCTCCATCTCAGGTCAGGCGACCGTTGGGGTCTCTTTCTGAAGAACACTCAGGATAAGCGTTTCTCTAGCAAACCTACTATGAACTTCATGTGCTCTGCAGCCCACCTCCGGGGCCACGGAAAACACAGCAACTCCCTCCCCGTGTTTGTCAAGGACTCAAGCCTGTCCCTGCATGTTGGGAAGTTGAGCTGTCCCTTCTCACATTCAGTGGTCCCGCCCACACCGGGAGACAGGTCGACACCCCCTCCCTGCTTCTAAGGTGCTCAGTGTGAGCATCTGAAGCGGCGAGGAAGGCTTCACCCAGAGGAGTTGAAGCCTGTGGCCACCCTCTGCCGCCACAGCTCACTCCAGAGAGGGGTGAACCCGAGGTTTTGGATGATGCTGTGACCAAGCTCTTGACAGCTCAGTTTCGCAGTGCTCCAGGAGGGCTGGCACAGGGCACAGAGTTCAGACCCAGCCAGGATTGAACCGGACAGCCCTGAATGTCCCTGCCTTTCCTTCTCCTGCCCTTGTGAGGGGCTTCCCCAAATGTTATGTTCCCGGGATCAGCTAGTGCCTTCGAAGGCTGGGGGTGTGCCCAGGAAGGTGCATCTTACTCAGTAACCGCCAGCAGACGGGGACCTGGTTAAGGTGGACACCCAAGATGCTCTACACTCTATAAGCTCACACTCAGCAGGCGCACACCAGACTGGGATGGGAATGTCATGGAGAAGCCAGAGAGGCTGGATGAACAAAAACAATAATGCAGAAGGCTCTACAAGTCACGGCAGCACAGGAAACCCTCAGCCGAGAGCTTAACCCTCACCCCATGGTGAGACAGAAGGACTTCCACAAATTTCCTTTTTTTTTTTTTTTTTTGCTTTTTGGGTCACACCTGGCGATACACAGGGGTTACTCCTGGCTCTGCACTCAGGAATCACTCCTGGCGGTGCTCAGGGGACCATATGGGATGCTGGGAATCGAACCCGGGATGGCCACATGGTGAAAGGCAAATGCCCTACCCACTGTGCTATCCAGCCCCCCCACAATTTTTCTTTTATTGCAGTGTTTTTGGATCACTCCATTAGCCACTTAGTGGTAACAAGTGATATAAAGTAAATTATTCTGGGCCTGCTACCAGGGCAGGTGTGGGGTGGAGAGGAGGAGGCTGGGCTGGGAAAGATGGGGACAATGGTGGAGGGGAGGTGACAATGGTGGTGGGATAGGGTTGGAATATTGAAGGCCTGTAACAAATGTATCATGAACAACTTTGTAACCTGTGGTGTTCAAATAAAGTGGGATCTGGGTTGGAGCAATAGCACAGTGGGCAGGGAGTTTGCCTTGCACGCTGCCGACCCAGGTATGGTCCCCAGAGCACCACCAGGAGTAATTTCTGAGTGCAGAGCCAGGAGGAACCCCTGAGCATCACTGGATGTGACCCGAAAAAGGAAAAAATAAAAATAAAACAAATAAAGTGGAGGCTGGGGGATAGACAGAGGGGCTGTTTGGAAAGTCGGTGGTGGGGAGTCCGGGCTGCTCTGTGAAGCTGTGACTGTCCTCGAGTCCACAGCTTGGTCAGACTTTCCAGCTGACCTCAGGGTCCCTGTCCTCACTAACGGTCAATCCCGGCCAATTGGGTGCTTCTTGGTTCAGTGGCAGCTCTGAGCTGCGTCAGCAATGGGGGACTCCAGACAGACTCGAGTGGGTGAGGCCCCAGGTGTTGAGGGTGGGTGGAGATGCTGCTCCATTCACCCAGCCTCGGGGGGTGGAGGAGGCCCAGCCAGGGCACGGAGGAAGGCAGAGAACTCGATTGCGGGGCTGCAGGATGAGGTGGGCAGGGCTTAGGCAGAGCCCGGGCCTGTCCAGAAAGGAGCTGGACCTCCACTTCCGGTCAAGAACGAATAGTCTTCCCTAACCTGTGCTCTCTCGAAACCGCATTTCTCCCCGTCTCCTCTGCAGCAAGCAGGGGCCACGAGGGGAAGGCTGGGCGCGACACGAGAATCTCACCCCTGTTCACGGATGCCCCTGGGGACTCTGAATTTCACACACACACACACACACACACACACACACACACACTGAACACAGGGGGTGACCCCAGAGAAAGGGCTTGGGCTCAATCTGACTACAGATGCGAACAGGGAAGCTTCCCCCCCAACACCAGGGCTGTTGAGTGGAGGGTGAGATCTGGGGGCTCCCCGGTTTAAGCCCCCCTCCCTGGGGGCTGAGTCCCTGAGTGTAGCGGGCACCGTATCAGAGTCAGATGCAGGGAAGTGGGGGTAGGGGTAGGGGTGAGGGGTTTGGGGAGGGGGGGCAGCGCACACAACAAGTCAGGCAGCACCAATTCCCAAAAAAACTTTATTGTTGCAAGTGGCAAAATGTCATTGGTCTCTCTGTGGGCACCGGGCAGGGTCAGGGAGAGGAGGGAGAGAAGGGGGAGGGGGGTGGAGGGGGGATGGAATAGGACTCCACTCATTACAAAAAAATCAAAGGCTTTTTATAAAAAAGGCTATAAATTGGTATCAAAAGAAAAAAAAAACCAAAAGCCCCACAGGAGGCAGGAGGAGGAAGGAGAGAGGGAGAAGGGGTGGGTGGGGGTGAGGAGGGGACCAAGTCCTGACCGCTGACGCCTGAAGGGGGGTGGGAGGAGGGGAAGGATATACAAAGTGCATAAAGGCGCCTCCTCGGGTGCTCCTGGGAGACAGAGGAGGGGCGGAGGCTGCAGTCCCGGGCGTGCAGGACGCTCCTGCCTCTCCTGGGACCCCCGCAGGGACCGACTCTGCCTGCCTGAGGCGTCCAGATGGGAAGGATCTGCAGCCAGGAGGGAAGGAGACAGGTGATAGGGGAGGTAGAGGAGCTGTCTGGGCCACCCTGCTCAGACCACGGGAGCCGGTACTGGGCCCCCCACCCCGGCGGAGAGGAGGCCTGGAGCCCAACGGCCCTGAGGGTGGCCAAGATCTAGGAGGGCCAAGCAGCTCACCCACCAGACCCAGGAACAGGTCACCAGCCTCACACAAGAAGTTGGGGGATGTGCTGAATTCTCGAAGGAAGACCCCACTTTTTCTCGACTCCCACTCCACTCCGAGCTCCAGACAGTCCCCCATGGTAGGGAGTTGCTCTCACCTCAGTGACCCCTCAAACCTTCTTCTTCTTTAGCTTCAGGGCTTGCAGCCAGTTGGGTGATGAGCTTTCTGACCTTGAAGCCAGGAAGAACAAAGGTCATAAGGGAAATGTTAGCTGGGACAGGATGAGCCCAGAGATAAAAAGAGCACGGAGGCTTACAGCCAAACATCTGGTCATGAGTTCAAATCCCCAGTGACCCACATGTGCCACAGGGTTAAGACCCTGGCGGCAGGACAGTTGGTAAATTCTGGCCACCTGGGAATCAGTGATTCCCTAAGTGCAGCTTCTGGTCCCAAGTCTGCTGCCTGGTGTGTGTCTAAGTGTCAGAAAAGGGGGTACACACACACACACACACACACACACACACACACACCCCACCGGGAGCTCAAGTGAAAAGAAATACAAACACCAAGGACAGGCACCACCAGGACTGTGACCACCACCACCTGTGTGCCACATCGAAGCATGGCCCTGGAGAGGACCACGGCCAAAGGAATGCAGGCCTCAGGGAGCACACAGCTGAGCAGACGGTACAGCTTGGCATGACCCCAGAGACCCCCAGTCACCACAACAAGGGAAGGAAGAAGAGAGGGAGGGAGGGAGGGAGGGAGGGAGGGAGAGAGGGAGGGAGGGAGGTAAGAAGGAAGAGGAGGGAGGGAGGGAAGGAAGGAAGGAGGGAAGGCAGGGAGAGAGGAATTGAGGGAGGAAAGAAGAATGGAAGAGAGGGAGGAAGGAGAGGAAGAATGGAAGGAAGGAAGGAAGGAAGGAAGGAAGGAAGGAAGGAAGGAAGGAAGGAAAGAAGGAAGAGGAGGAAGGGAAGGAAGGGAGGGAGGGAAAAAGGACGGAAGGAAGGGAGGAAGGAAGGAAGGGAGGAAGGGAGGGAGGGAGAAAGGAAGGAAGGGAGGGAGGAAGGAAGGAAGGAAGGAAGGAAGGAAGGAAGGAAGGAAGGAAGAGGAGGAAGGGAAGGAAGGGAGGGAGGGAAAAAGGACAGAAGGAAGGGAGGAAGGAAGGGAGGAAGGGAGGGAGGGAGGGAGGGAGAAAGGAAGGAAGAGGAAGGGAAGGAAGGGAGGGAGGGAAAAAGGAAGGGAGGGAGGGAGGGAGGGAGGGGAGGGAGTGGAGGAGGAAAGGGAGAGAGAGAAGGGAGGGAGGAAGGAGAGCAAGAATAGAAGGAAGGAAGGGAAGAAGGAAGGAAGGAGGAAGGAGGGAGGGGAGGGAGGGAGGGAGGGAGGGAGGGAGGGAGGGAGGGAGGAGAGAAAAGGAAGGACGGACGAAAGGAGAGAAAAGGAAGGAAGGAAGGAAGGAAGGAAGGAAGGAAGGAAGGGAGGGAGGGAGGGAGGGAGGGAGGGAGGGAGGGGAGGGGAGGGGAGGGGAGGGGAGTGGAGGGGAGGGAGAAAGGGAGAGAGAAGGGAGGGACAGAGGGAAGGAGAAGGAAGGAAGCAGGAAGCAGGAGGCAAAGTTCCACCCTGGCCCCCCTTGTAGACCCCGGGAGCACCCGGGAGCCATCCCTGAGAACACAGCCAGGAGCTGCCCCCATCACGGTGGGTGTGTGACTCCAAACCAAAACCCAAATAAAAATGAAAAAGAAAAGGCACCTGGGACCTGGCTGCAGAGACCAGAACTCAGCCTCAGTGATCGCTCCCCTCCACCGAACCCTACCCCGCTCCGTGTCCTCCTCTTTAGTTGGCTTCCCGGGGGGTGGCGATTAGCGGTCACCCAGAGCAGACGTCCGTCACCTACCCTGAGGATTTCTCTGGCTTGGGGGGTAAGGCGAGGGGCTTCCCCAGCCCCGGGACCTTGCAGGACTTGGAGCGCTGCACGGCCGACTCCTTCGGGTGGGGTTTGCTCTCTCCTGGCTCCCCCTCCTCGGAGGAGCGGTTCCGGGGGCGTAGCTTGGCCTGAGGAAGGCGCCCGGAGGCGGTGACATTGGAGAGAGGGTCACCGAGGACCCAGCTGTCTTCTCCCGAATGGGAACAGTCCCCAGGGCTGGGCCAGGCCAGGTCAGTGCGGACTTCCCATCCCCTATGCTGCCCCCTGAATCCAGAACCCTCCCACTGCCTTCCCTATGGGTCATGGCCATCTCCCGGACACCCCCGGGAGGGGACCCCAGCCCCTAATGCAGGTCCTGCACTGTGGGAGGGGATGAGAGGCCTGCAAGGGGCACGCTGGCCGGGGTGGGCGCCGGGCAGCAGTGGCCGCATGACCGGGGCAGGGGTACCTTCAGGGCCGACGGGCTCAGGCCGGGAAAGAGGTTGACTTTCAGCCCCTTGGTGCCGCGGGGAAACCGGGTGCAACGGTTCTGAGGCTCCTCCACCACCTCGTCGTCGGAAGACGGCAGCCGAGAAGCCCGCGGTTCTGCGAGGTCCAGGAGAGGGGACTCGGGTGGGTCCCCCCTGCCCCGCCCCACCTCGGGCTACCCGGCACCCCGCACCCCTGCACGCGGTGCTCTACCCACCCGTGGAGTCCTGGAACAGGCGCGCGTCCGAGTCGGCCGCCTCCGACAGGCCCAGGGTGCCCCCCGGGCGGATGGCGGGGGCCCGGTGGCCGCGCTTGCGCCCCAGGTTGGCGCGACTCCGGTACATGGCACTGTCCAGAATCTCGGTGTCCTGCTCAGGGGCGGGAGACATGGCAAGACCCCCCGTTAGGTTGGTCTCAGGGCATGACATCACTTGCATCCTCCCGCAGGGGACAAGGCTCATTCCCCCCACCCCCGCCCCAGTCCCAGGGGACCTGGGTGAAGGCCACGTCCCTCCTGGGTCCCCGCTGACCTCGATGAAGGAGAAGTCCTGGCTGAGGGAGCCGGGGGATGAAACCTGGGGAGGGCGCCGAGGGGGCCGCGCGGGTCCCTGCTGGCCTGGCCCTGACCCCGGAGGCCCCCAGGTGCCGTCCACCTCTTCGGTCCGGCTGGCCTCCCCGTCGGGCTGGGGTCTCCAGGAAGGCAGAGGGGTCCGACTGTCAGGTTCGGGGCACTCGGTTGAGGCGGGGACCGCACCCACCGTCGCCTCCTCGACTGTGGACAGGCGCTGAAGGCGCGAGGCCGCCGCCTCCCTGCTGGCGGCCAACATCTCTTCCAGCAGGCCCTGGGAGCCTGGGGGCGGGGAGCGGGCTGAGCACCCACCGGGGCTGTGAAGGCGACACAGCAGAGGACACCAGGTCACTGGGAGGTCAGACTGCCCTTTCCTGGGAGCCACTGCCCTGTGTGGCCACCCCAGGCTAGAGCTGAGCTGGCCTGGAGGGTCCCACTGAGGTGCTTTTTGTCCTGCGCATTTTGGGGGGGGGGGGCAGTGCTCGGAGGTCTGTGCCCCTGTGAGGGCGCCACCAAGGGCTCCCATGGTGCAGAGTGCTTCCTCCAGGGGTCCCCGCTGAGACTGGGTGCATTACGCCCTCCACCCCCGGAAGCCTTGAGTTCCTGTCACTTCCCCAGGGTCCACTTCGGCCAGGGGCAGTTCCTGAGGCATGAGCCTGGCACCCCAGTTAGCCTCAGCCCCCACCCGGCACTCCCAGAACCCCCTCTCCCCCCCCAGGCACACACATGCCACTATGCATCTGCACACACTGTTTCCTGGTCCGGAAAGTATCTTCCCAGCACTGGGCGGACCTCCCTGGCCTCCAGCCCTGGCCCCTGCACCCCAGCCGGAGCACCTTTGTCCCCACTGTCAGCTGGTGAAGTCCTCAAGGGCAAGAGATGAGTCCCTGCTGCCCTGTGTGCCCAACATCTTGCCCAGGACAAGACACGTGTCGGTCCAAATGGCCCGCATGAAGGACAGGCCGGGTCAGCTGGTCAGGATTCCCCACCTGCGGGACCCTCCCAGCACAGCAGACCCGGCCACGCACATGGCTCTGGTGTGCACCATTTGCCTGTCTTGCCTAGAGTGCCTTGCCCCGTGCCACACCACACACACATGCATACGTACACACATGATGCACACACCACATATGCACTCAGGACACACACACACACAGAGGATGCACACACACGCGCGCAAACAGGATGCACACACACAGGATGCACACACCACACACACACTCAGGACACACACACAGGATACACACACGCATATACAGGATGCACACACAGAGGATGCACACAGTATGCATACACACAGGATGCACACACATAGAGGATGCAAACACACACGCATACAGAATGCACACATACACACACGATGCACAAACATGCACAGGCAGAACCTGCATATACACATACAGGATGCACACAAACACGTGTGCACACAGGATGCACACAAAATGCACAGAAACATGTGCACACAGGATATACACACAGGACGCATACTCACACGGGATGCACACACAGGACACATGCATACAGGATACACACACACACAGGATGCATGCATACAAGATGCCCACAGGCTGCACACACAGGATGCATGTACACACAAGATACACACATACAGGAAACACAGACACACACAGGCTGCACACAGGTGGTGGGAAAGGCTGGGGGGTGTGCCAGAAGCTGGGCAGCTCCCTTAGGGGGATGGGACGGGGCAGGGCAGGTGTGTCAGCCCCAGAACAGAGCTGGGAGGCCGAGAATGAGAACATGTCACTGTCCTTCCACAAGCTGCTGACAGATGGGAACAAGCGCTGTCTGGGAGGGAGGGGGTGGCAGAACAGCAAGGCAGCAGGATGGGGAGCAGCCCTGGAAGGGGGCCAACGCCAGCTCACCCGGCTGCCTCCATTCAGGGGGCCGGGCCGGCGGGGGCGCGCCCCACCCAGCTCAAGGCAGTCTGGCCCAGAGCATCCTGCAGGGGTGAGGCCGAAGGGCCAGGGCCAGGGCACTGAGGGGAAGTGAGACACCAGGGAGCCAGAGCCGCGCCCAGAGATGGTGGGGGGTGGGGGGACTGGGGTGCATGCACACACACACGTGTGTGTGTGTGTGTGTGTGTGTGTGACAGAGAGACAGAGAGACAGAGACAGAGACACAGAGAGGGAGAGGAAGGTGGGGTTCACAGTGTGTGCATGCCTGTGTGTGTGTGTATGCCTCTGTGTGTGTTCACGCATGCCTATGTGTGTGTGTATGAGAGAGAGAGAAAGAGACAGAGATAAGAGAGGGAGAGGAAGGTGGGGTCTGCAGTGTGTGTGTGCCTTTGTGTGCATGCCTCTGTGTGTTCACGCATGCCTATGTGTATGTTTGTGTGTGTGTGTGTTTGTGTGTGCGCGCGTACCCGTGTGGGCCATTCCTGCTGCCAGCTAACCCCACTCAGCCTTCTTCCACCTCAGGGTGCCCAACACAGCTGTAACTGGACATTCCAGCAAGGGGGTGGGGGGGCGCAGTGGGGATTGGGGGGGCAGAGCACTGCCAATCCAATGTGGACACAGTGGCACACACACCCCAGCCCCCACCCCCACCCCACTCGCCTACCCTCGGTGTTTCTCATCCATTCCACACCTCCGTCCCCTCAGTCATAAGGAAAGCACGTCAGCCGAGCTGGGGGTGTGGGCAGAAGGCACAAGCCAGGCCAAGGGTATCCCCGCTCCACACATGGTCAGGACGGTCAGCACCCTCCACCCAGCACCTTCTAGGGGCCTCGTCTCATGGTCACCCACTGCAGCCCTCGCCCCCTCCAGAGCCCGAGGATGCTGAGGGCAGGGGCTCCTACCAAAGATGCACCCCCACCCCCATGGCTGGTATCCTGCAGACACGCCAACCATCAGTGTCCCTCCCTACTTCCCCGCAGCCAAACGGGAAGGCCAGGGCTAGACAGGGAATGTGTTGAAAGGTGGGGTGGGGGGTGGGGGTAGGGGCTATCCACCTCCCCAGTAAGATGCTCACAAGACCGGGTTCCCAGAAATTTTAAAGGGATCCATGATCACAAGGAGGCATACTGCCTTTTTGAGTCTCAGTTTCCCCTCCCATGAAATGAAGAGGCTGGTCTCCTTGATCTCTGAATCTGTCAGCAAGGTTTCTGCTCTGCTGGGAAGAGGAGGCAGGGGAGAGGGCCAGCAGGAGCTCTCTGGGCTTGGGGACGGTCATTCCCACCAGGTCGATGTATGTGATCTGGGGGGGAGGGGGGCTGTGCACTCCCACACTCTCCCATGCCCCGGACCCCAACACCAGCCTTGTCCCAGCTGTGCTAGGCAATCCAACCAATGACCGCCCCCTCTACCCCGTTAGGGCGACTGTGGTCCCAACTCAAGAGACAATAACAAAAACGTCCCCAAGGATCTCACTTCATGGACAGCTCACATCCATCCAAAACCATCTGATGGTTTGGTCTGCAAAACCATCATAACCGGTCACATCCAACCAAATTTGCAAAACAGAGTTGAAGATGGTCGTGAGCCTTTCCCCAGATTTCTGTGAGCTGAGTAAGATCCCATCACTTGTATCAGCTCCTGATCTCAATGACAACCATGGGAGATACAGACTAAGTCACCTGTGCTGTGCTCCCCTGTATAAACACACACACACACACACACACACACACACACACACACACACACAATTACACAATGGCAGGTGCACCCCAGACCTGAGAAGGCACAAACCCGATTGATTCCACCAGCTGTGCTGAGGACTTTCTGTTACCTAGGAAACGGCCACCATATATATCCTTTATGGAAACTTCCAGAGTGGACAATTGTCCCTCAGATTCTCCTTAGCCCATTAGTTGTCAAGACACATCTGCAAAATACTGTCTCAAAGAAAGGTATGTCGGTTGCCTTACTCTTCCTTTTTTTTTCCCCCCCTTTCTTTTTGGCACTCCTGGTGGTGTTCAGGGGACCATATGTGATGCCAGGGATCGAACCCTGATCGGCCGCATGCAAGACAAACGCCTACCCACTGTACTATTGCCCTGGGATCTTTCCCATCTGGCCCACAATCAGCAGCGAGAGAAGCTCCAGGGTCAAAAAAAGAAAGACCTTTCACAGGGTGTGTGTGTTGGGGGTGGGGGGGGAGGTGACAAAGCCTCACATCAAGGGCAGGAAACGGGAAAGGAGACCTCGCCACCCCCCCAGGTGTGGAATCACCTGGTTGGTTTTAGAACACAAGAACCGACCCCCCCACCCCCGCTGCACTGCACTGGGAAGGCAGCCCATGTGCTCCCTGCAAAGTCTTTTTAACTTTATGGGTGGAGGCTGACATCCACGGTGTCTGGAGGCCAGATTCCCACTCCTTGGGGTTCTTTGCATGTGTGTGTTTTGAGGTCACCCCCAGCAATTACTCCTGGCAATATTCAGGGGTCCGTACGTGACGCTGGGGATCGAACCCAGGTCAGTCCCGTGCAAGGCAAACGCCCTCCCTCCCGGCTGTACCATCACTCTGGGGGCTGCCCACCCCGCTCTGGACCTGGATGGGCCATGATGTGAGCACCATGCCCGAGGCCCCAGGGGGGGCACCTCCGACTTCAGGCCCAAGCAGCACGGGAAAAGGAGGAGCCACTGAACCACGTGACCCCATTTCCTCAACCACTGCCACAGCCCTGAGCAAGGGCAGGTAAACAATAGCGTGGCTGGCAGCACCCAAGACTCAGGACCAGAAGACACAGTGCCACTTGGGGGGGCCGAACACACGCTCCACACGCAGGAAGCTCAAGTTCAATCCCAGGCACCGCAAGGTCCCCCCCAAACGCACATGCAGCATCCTACAAACACAGACTCACCTGGCTGCGAAGCTGGACGCGTCTCCTGGCTCCTTTCCCGTGTCTTCGGGCTGCGGCTCCTCGGGGCCGGGTGAGCGGCCTTCTTGGCTGGGGCTGTCGGCTCCGCTCGTCTCCCCGACCCCCAGCTCTCGGGCCTCCAGGCCAGGGGACAGGTGGCCGTTGCTCCTGAGGGTTGGCTCGGGCGGCTGGCTGACCTCTCCCACCCCGTGCTCCCTGGCTTCACTGGGGGTCCCCAAGTCCTGCCTCCAGTCCATCATCTGCCCCACGCCACACTCCCGGGGCCCTTGAGAACCTTCGGGCTCCGGGTCACAGGGCACCTCCAGGTTCCGCAATCCCAGATTGTCGCCCCAGTCCACCTGGCCCGCCCCGCCCTCCCGGGGACCTGGGGCCACATCGCTCAGGCCCAGGCCAGCTGTCCAGTCGGCCTGGCCTACGCCGCGCTCTCTGGATTTCAGAAACTCCCCAGCCTCCGCCGCTGACCAGCCGGTCTGCCCCACACCGCTCTCTCTAACCAGCTCCGGGCTCCTCCCGCTGACACCCGTCCAGTCCTTCTCCCCGACGCCGACCCCCCGGGGCTCCTCCTCAGGGCCCCCCGCTGTCCCCAGCGGACCAGCGGCCAGGCCTAGCTCGCTGGAGCCTGGCGTGTCTGACCAGCCCATCTGGCCCACGGCGTCCTCCCTGGCCTGAAGCAGACCCCCAGAAACCACACAGCTGGGCACTTCCAAGTTCCTGAGGCCCAGCTGGTCAGTCCAGTCCATGGGTCCAGCCGAGGGCTTCTCGGGGGATGCGAAGGGGCTGCCCCCAACCTCGTCGGATGGGCTCAGGCCCGCCCCGCTCGCCCGGTCATTGCCAATGATGCCGAACTGATGGTTCCTCTCGGCGGTGCCGGTGGTGGAATCCAGGCCGAACTCCCCGCTCCAGGCCCGCTGCCCTGGCCCAAAGGCCACTTCGGGCTGGGAGGCGACACCCTGGCAGAAGTCGCTGGCCCAGCCCCGGGACCCCACCTCCCCATCACCCCGCTCCACCTGGCCGGGGCTCTGAGCCCCCAACCCTGCCGGGCCCTGCCACCCACCCCCGTCCAGACTGCCGGTGCTGCCCTGCCAGCTGCCCTGCTCTCTCTGGACCGGAGTCCCGGCCTGTGCTGGTGAGCTGTTGGACCCGAACAGGCCCCCCGCCTCCCCGGCCTGGCCACCATCCCCGCTTGGACCCTTCTTCTCAAACTCCTCGTCCTGCTGCTGGGCGTCCTCGGGACTGAAGCCGGCACTCAGGGCTCTCGGCCCGAAGCCGCGTTCCTGGGAGCCCAGGACCCCCGAGCCGCCGTCACCGTTGCCACTAAAATCCCTCATCCAGGCGCTGTTCCCGAAATCTGGGTCAGGCTGCGCTGTCCCCCGGCCGCCATAAGGGTCCAGGGAGGGTTCCCGCTTGCCAAACTCCCAGTCCTGCTCATCGGTGTCCTGGCCGCTGTACCTAGCCAAGGGGTCGTCCCTGCTGGGCTCCGGGCTGGCCGGGCCAGCGTCCCCACTCAGCGGCTCTCTCTTCTCAAATTCCCAGTCCTGGAGGTTGGCATCCTGGCTGCTGTAGGCACCTGTCGTCAGGTCCCGATTCCCGAACTCGTCGTCCACGGCCCGGTTGCCCCTCTTGGTGAACTCCCAGGCCTGTGTCCCTGGGTCCAGACTCTGTGGGGCTGGCGGTGTGCCCACCACGAGGGCCCGGGGCTCTGACATTCCATGTCCCTCTCCCAGGCCGGGGCTGATGCCTGGCTCCTCCTGGCTGGCACCGCACTTGCTGGCCCTTTCCTTGGCACTCCCGTCCCCAATGCCCGGCCCACACGGGCTGGACCAATCGCTCTTGGTCAAGCCTGGGTTCCCCCGAGAGCTCGAAGCCCCGAGGTCATAGTCCTGAGTAGGGTCCTGGGACCAGCTGGGAGGGCTCAGGCTGCAGGGAGGAGGGTCTGTCGCAATCCCAAATTCCCTCTGCAGATCTTTCTGAGACCAGCCGAGGAGTCCCTGGGAAAGAGAGGGAAAAAAAAAAAAAAGGAGACAATACTCGAGTCTGTTGACAGGGGCAGGAGAGAGGGGGTTGTGCAGGACGGCAGTGGGGAGGCAGGGCTTGGCGGGGCGGCAATCCTGGAGCAGGATCAAGCACTGCTCAGCTCCTGAGTGCCCCACTGGGAATGCAGGGCCTCGCCTCGCGGCTGTGTGACCTTCAGCAGAGCACTTAACCACTCTGGTCCTCGACAGAAAATGAGGCTCATTCCAGCGGCACACCGTGCTTTGGGGTGATTAAACAAGCTCCTCTCCGCCAAGTGCCCGGCACGCAAGCCGTGACCTGTGGCCGTGTTTACAGAGCTTGGGGCAACACTTGGCTCACAGCCAATAGGAAGGCTGCCCTGGGGTGGGCTCTGGGGTCATGTGGGGAGAAAGCCGAGGCTTGGGGCACCCCCCAACACACACACATACACACACACACACACCCCTTTCCCAGGCTGAATTCCAGTAGCACCCCAAGCCCTTATGTCTGCGGGAGTCCCCATTTCCCTTCCTCCCTAAGGGAGGTGCCCAGAGGAAGCCCTGGCGGCCAAGCCTCAAGCCCAGAGGGCGGGAGGGGGGGTACAGGACAACAAACAGCTATCCAGCCAAGCCAGCACAAGCCGGGGACCCCACCGGGGCTCCCTGCAGGCCCCCCCCCACCCCGGCCCCTGACCCCCTGACTCACTCCAGCGGGCGGCTGAGCCCGGCGCTCCGGAGCCTGGGGGCTACGGAGCCGGCCCGCCTCGTCCCGTAGCGCGGCGTTGGCCAGGAGCCTCTCCAGGACAGACACGCTGGGCTCCCCCAGCCCAGACATGGCCCCCCGAGGTGCAGCTCCCCGCACCCAGACCTGTCCCAAGGCTCGGGCTCCCTCCGAGCAGCTGCAGCTCTGGCGAGCCCCGCCCAGCAGCTGGGTGAGTCACCCACATCCCGGGGACAGACACACCTACTGCAGGAGCCAGCCCCGGGGCTTAACTCCTTCCTGCTCCGCCTCCTTCTCCTCCTCCTCCTGTCCAGTCCCGCCCCCTGTCCACCAGCCCACCCCAAGTCTTCCCACTGGGCTGGGAAAATGCATTTCCAAAGCCACCTGGACACCAGCCCTTGAACGTGGGAAGTGGCCAGGGGAGGAGAGAGGACAGGGCCACCCCCTGGGGCGGGGAAGCCCGCTGGTCAGCACACTTGCCAGAGCAAACGGCTCCTGAAGGGCGGGTCCCTAGCAACCCACTGGTGCCCACCACCCATCACTGGGGCAGGGGGGGTGGGGTACAGAGATGGTTCCTGCTCTCCTTGTATTAGAGGTAGAAACTGAGGCACAAGGTCACGGAGAAACCTGGAAGTCACGAGCCGGGAGACTGGGGTGATGGGGGGAAGAGTCAAAGATTAAGGGCAATAATGAGCCTGAAGTGCTCCCAGCTCTACTCCTCTCCCCTGCAGCCCTTCCTCTCCAGACAGACGGACGAACGGACATAAAACCCCATCCTTGTCCTGCTTCTTTTTTTTAAGCTTTTGGACCACACTGAGCGATGTTCAGGGGGTTCCTTCTGACTCTGCACTCAGGAATCACTCCTGGTGGTGCTCGGGGGACCCTATGGGATGCGGGGGATCGGGCCCAGGAGGGTCAAGCGCCAGACAAGCGCCCTCCCCGCTGGACTGTCGCTCCGGCCCTGTGTCACCCACATCTTACCCCCACCCCCCGCCCACTTCTCCCCTCCAAGGGGCAAAGGTCATTCCTGGGGCTCTCAGCCAAGAGGTCAAAACCCGTTCCCACAATTCCCACGACGGAGCACGGGGCTCTGGAATGCAGAGTCACCGGAACTCACAGCAAAGCGGCCTCAGCGCCCTCCCGCGCCCCTGGCCAGACCACACACAGCTGGGGGGTGGAGGGGGTCGAGGGACATCCTCAAACGATAGACAGACAGACGTGAAGATCCCCAAGCCCTGGGCGTGGGAGTGACAGCAGTACAGCTACTCGCCTTGCACACGACTGACCCAGGGCTATATCCCCAGCATCCCAGACGATCCCCGGGGCCCACCAGGAGTGACTCCTGAGCACAGAGCCAGAAGACGCCCACCGCCCCTTTCCAAAAGAGACTGTACCACTGAAGCCTCCCGTTGTTCAACGATTTGCTGGAGCGGACCCAATAACGTCTCCATTGTGAGACCTGGTGTTACTGTGTTTGGCACATTGAATACGCCATGGGGAGCTTGTCAGGCTTTGCCGTGTGGGCGAGATACTCTCGGTAGCTTGCTGGGCTCTCCGATAGGGGTGGAGGAATTGAACCCGGCTCAGCCGGGCTAGCCACGCACAAGGCAGGCACCCTACTACTATGCTATCGCTCCAGCCAAAAGAGAAAAGAAAGAAAAGCCCAAGCCCCAGTCCTGGCTTCCCTCCCAGCACCCGCTTCTGGGTCCTCACCTCGGAATGGGGACCAGGCATCCGCAGGTCCTCACGTTCGGGGCCCGGGCCCCCGCCCTGAGCTGTCAGCACTCAGGGGCGGTGGCGAGGCCAGGAGGTCATCCAGCCAGTGGGAGCCGTCGGCAGGGCCGGTAGGCTCGGGGGATGCCCGGGAGAGGTCCGGAGGCTCCGTCCTGGGTCGGGTGATCTCGGCGTGGGCCAGGGTCACGGCCTCCTCCTCAGCAGGCAGTGCCTGGCCGGGCTTGGGGCAGTCGGCGAAGAGCACGCAGGGCTGGTCAGAGGGTGCTGGCTGCTGCTGCCCCACGAGGGGCTCCCGGACAGGCAGGACGGCCTCCCTGGTGGCCACGGGGAGCGGGGACTCCTGCCCGGCCACAGGCTCCCACTCCTGGTGCCGCTCCTCTGCCTGCAGCAGGGCCCGGCCCGGAGGGGTGGCCGCTGGGGACCAAGGCGGACTCTCCTGAGAGGTGCCCGCGTCCTGCACCCCGGAACCTGGCTGTCCTGTCCCCCTCGGGAGCCGACCGGGCCCCGTAGCACTGCTGCTGCTGCGGGGACGCACCTTCCTCCCTGGGGGATGCAGCCCAGTCGCTGGCCTCAGCAGCGGCCTCAGCAGCCTCGGTGGCCTCCGTGATGGGAGAGGGGGGGCGGGGAGTCCAGTCGCCAGGCCCCCAGCCCTGCAGGCCGCGAGGGGAAGGTCCACTCGAAGGACTGGGACAAGCTCCAGTTGGACTCGGCGCCGCTCCCGAAGGGGCGATCCAAAGCCAGCTGGCTGCCCTGTGACTGGGGCAGGGCCGCCAGGGAGCCCCCCAGCTTCTCAGGGTCCTGGGTGGGCGGCTGCAGCACACCTTCAGAAAAGCGCCGCTGGGCCAGGCTGGCAGGGCGAGGGTCGCTTGCGGGGGGCCTCTGCGCCTGGTGGGATCGTCCTCGGAGGCTGGAGCCCCTCGGCTTGCTCCATCAGGGGCCGGGGCGAGGTGACTGGGGGCAGCTCTGGGCTGTGGCGTCCGGAGACCTCTAGGACGTCCCCTGTCCTCTCGGTGAGGAGGGCTGCTGGGTCTGGGGGCCTGGCGGGAATGGTCTGCAGCCAAAGCTGGCGGTGGTGGCGTCGAGGGGCGGCGGGGAGAGGCGGAGGGACTCTGGGCTTCCGGGAGCGAAGCGTGGTGGCGACCTTGGTCTTCCTCCGGTGAGTCTGGGATGGGGGAGGCCCCGTTCTCAGCAGCAAGGCCGGGGCTGGAGGGCACCCCGGGCTTGGCACCCTGCAAGGAAACATCGCAGACCATCAGCAGCCGGATGTGGCGTGGGAGGTCTCAGCCCCAGACAGGGGGAGGAAACGGCGAGCCCGGGTGTGTGTGTGTGTGGGGGGGGGGGAATATCAGGACAGCTGGGAGAGGCCCCAAAGGCGATGGGGGCTTCTTAGGGACCACCAAGCCCCTCCTTCAGTGTCCCATCCACCACTACCCCCAAGTCAGGGATGGCGTCCTTCACTCCAGAAGGTTCTGTCCCTCCTCCATCCTCCTCCCTGGTCCTCCTCCTCCCTCCTCCCTCCCTGCCTCCCCCCCCGCAGAGGTGCCTGTTTTTGTTTTTGTTTTTTGGGTCACACCCAGCGATTCTCAGGGGTTACTCCTGGTTCTGCACTCAGGAATCACTCCTGGTGGTGCTTGAGGGACCATATGGGGTGCTGGGAAATGAACCCGGGTTGGTCGCGTGCAAGGCTAACGCACTACCCGCTGTGCTATCACTCCATCTTTTTTTTTTTTTTTTTGCTTTTTGAGTCACACCTGGCAATGCTCAGGGGTTCCTCCTGGTTCTGCACTCAGAAATTACTTCTGCGGTGCTTGGGGGATCATATGGGATGCTGGGGATCAAACCCGGGTCGGCCACGTGCAAGGCAAATGCCCTACCTGCTATACCATCACTCCGGTCCCCTAGGCTTTGTCTTTACCGGTGACTGTGCCCTGACCCATATCAGGTTCGAGCGTCTGCGGGTCTGCCCGCCTCCCCCCACCCCGTCCCTCTCTCGGCTCCCCCAGCACCCCCAGACCCTGTGCGAGCACAGCCACTCACCCCTGCTTCTCGCCGCCCCCCCCCCCACCCCACTGTCCCTTCTGCCCTCTGCTATTCCACCATCCTTCCGGCCTCTTTTATGCACAGCCTCGACTGCGCCCTTCACTGGCCCATCCTGCGGATCAGCAGAGGCTCAGCAGCACTCTAGGCCGCGCCCGACCACCCCACCACGGCCAGTGGTGGCCTGCAGTCCCCCCTGGACTTCCCCTCCTGCCCCTTGCTCCAGGCCACACATCCGGCTCCTCCAAACTCTGACACCGCGTTCCCCCCCCCCCCCACTCCTCGCCCAGCTGCCAGCCTTGCTTCCGGTCCCCGGAGAACACAGAGGCTGTGGACAAGAGAATCTCCCACACTACCCCAGCCTGCCAAGAGCCCGAACGCCCCACTCCCCTCCCCCACCCCCGCCCGGGGCCCGTCCTGCTCAAGACTCTGGCACCAATCTGCCACTCTTGGGCGGCTGTTCCCATCCGCTGGTTCCGTTCCTTCCCTTTTCGAGAAACAACACACGCTCGACCTCACCTCTCGCTCCCTCGGGCCACATCGACAGTTCCTCTTGGTGCAAACCAAGCTTGCCCCAGCCCCGCGTGACCTCAGTGCTCATCAGAGCCCCCAAGGCCCTCCAGGACATCCAACCCCAGAGGGGGCTTCTCCACTGCTGGACACCGCCTCCCTCTGCCTCCCTGCCCCAGGCTTTCCTCCGGCTTCTCTGCTGCTCCCTCTGCCCAGAGCTCGCAGCCACACCCCTGGCCCACTCCTCGCCTCTGGCTTCACCTGTGGCCCCAGTGAACTCATGACACAGTATGGGAATGTCTGCACGTTGCAGAGTCCCGAGGTCTCCTCCCCAGCTCACTCTTGTTCCTGGAACCCCACGCTCCAAGATCCATGATCTATCTGCCCGCTAGAAGTTTCCATGTGGACAGCTAATGGTGGTCTTCAACTACCGCTTCACAAACAAGAACTGGCCCGTATGTGCATAAGGTGGGGGCGGGCATTGGTAAACCAAGTACTGCCTCAGTCCCAGCTGCCCACCAGGGGACCCATATGCCACCCCGGTGCCAGCCCTGGGGTGTAAAGAAGCTGAAGAATGCTAAGGAGGCATCTCAAGGGGCTGGAGTGATAGCACAGGAGGGAGGGCATTTGCCCTGAATGCAGACAACCTGGGTTCAATCCCCAGCATCCCGTATGATTCCCCAAGCACTTCCAGGAGTAATTCCTGAGTGCAGAGTGAGGAGTAACTCCTGAGTATCGCCAGGTGTGACCCAAAAAGGAGGAAAAAAAAAAAGGAATCTCAAATGCCACAAACACAGATGACACCAACTTCTCCATCTCTCAGGGTCTTGCTCTAACACTGGACCCTGCCCCCCCCCCCCCCACTCCTGTCTGCAAACCCCATGCCCGCCTGGCTTGGCTAACTCCCAGCTCCCAGGGACAGGCAGCCATCCTCTCACTCACACCTGGGTGGCTCCCTGGTCAGCCAGGTTGCCCTCGCTGCCAATCTGAGGCACCTGCAACCAAATTCTGAATCTAGAGAGTGCACAGACAGGACTCTTAACCCCAAAACCAGCTGCACGCCGGCTGCCTGCTTGCTGTAGGCAACTGGTCCCCCTGGGTCAAGCTGAGGTGCTCAGAGCATCCTGGGATCAGAGGCTCATCTTTGGGCCTCACTGCCCCCCCACTCTGGTCCCCCACTAGCCTGGCTTCCTAGGCACAGAGGCATGGACGGTCAGACATACGACTTAGTTACTGCAGAGCCTTCTGCCAAGAAGCGGGTCCCTGCCCCACCCCTGCCCCCACCCCCCACACACACCCTCTCCCTTCAGGCACCTGTCTGATGCGTCACCCCATCTGCCAAAGAAGGTAACTGGGACAATTGGGCCCATGTGTCAAGTGGGAGGGGCCCGAGGTCAGAGTACACCTGGGTGCAGTTCTCAGCCATCTCCTGAGCACCTGGCTTTGCAGAGGAGCTCAGTCAACTCCGGCTGGATGGCTGGAAGGACAGACGGACAGACTCGGGCGAGCAAGGGTCCTCCTTGGGGAGCAAGGATGTGGTTTCTTTATGGGCCTGACTCAGGGGAGTGAGCGGGCTGCCTGGCCAGCCAAGCATGCAGGGAGGGAACCAGTCCCCAAGCCAGCGGATCTCGCCTCTCCCACCCCAGGGCACCGTCCTCAGGCCAGAAGGAGCCTGAGTCAGACATTTCAGCTTCAGATCCTCTGCTCAGCCCGAGCAGGTGAGTTGACAACCTGGGCGAGCCTGACACCCTGCTCTCCCTGACATGGGATGCTGCCACCAGCCGGGGTCATGTTAGTCAAGTTCCTAGAAGGTGTTCAGCACACCGCGGGCACCTGCTGGGGACACTGATTTACTCCCAGGACCGAACATTCTTGGGGTCTGAATCTCACACACTGAGATCAAGTCGCCCAGAGACCCCAGCGCATCTCCTGGGGTCGGAGTGATAGTCCAGCAGGAAGGGCACATTTGTCTTTGCACATGGCTGACCCCGGTTTGATCCCCAACATCCCATATGGTCCCCCAAGCACTCTCAGGGGTAATTCCTGAGTGCACAGCTAGGAGGAAGTCCTGAGCATCACCGTGTGTGTGAGACCCAAAATGCAAAATAAATAAATACTGCATCTCCTTTGGGGGAGGGGGCCTCGGGCGCCCCCATATGAACAGACGAGCACAATGGACAGACCGAGAGGGCGCGTTGGGTGACACATGCCAGCACGAGGATGCAGTGACTCCGATACACAACAAGGAAGGTAAACTCACATTGGCTGGTGGCTCTGAGCTGGCCTGCTCATGACCCAGGTCCCCGTTGAAGGCCCGGTTCGAAGCGGGGCTCCTGGGAGCGAGAAAGACAGGGTGAGGAAGTGCAGAAAGGGGCCAGAGGTCGGAGCCGTGGGCAGAGCTAAAGCACCAAACGGAAGGCACCCCCTGCCCCCACCCCAGAGGTTACCCTCAGGACGAAAACCGGGCACTTTCCCTAGAGAAAGTGCCCAGAAGGCCACATTCTTCCAGGGCCTTGAGGAAAAGCCTCCTGCAGGCCCACACCCTCACGGGCTCCTCCCAGAGCGAGGGGTGAAGGTCCTCCCACTGGGGAGCATGCAGCTGGTCCCGCTGCCCCTGCCAATCCTTCTAGAAGGATTGCAGGGGGAGGGCAAGGAGTGGAGGGGGGCGGGGGTTTGGGAGAGTGATTTTCCGAAGCTGAGGCTGTTCCCCTTCAGGCTGTTCTCACTTGGAGCAAGGGCAGGAGTCAGAGGCAGCGTGGAATCCAGCCTAGCCGGGGTGAGGGAGCAGAGGAGTTGGGGCCCAGGGCACAGGGGCTTCACGTGGACTCTGCCCCGGGCACCTTCACTGGATGGAAGGGCCGGGACCTGCAGCTTGGCCAAGGCCATAGAGAGGGGGCGAGGGGGATGGGAGCCCCCGCCCAGAATGCTGAGGACCAACCAGGACTCAAGCTCAGCCTGTCCTGAGAATGGCCTCCTTGGCCGGCAGCCCACAGCACCTGCCCTGCCTTAGCGCCTCCTCTGCCGTCCACACCCGCTGCCCCCAGGGGTGCCTCCGGGCCCCCTCTTCCTCTCCACGGGCACCAGCTCCAGACCAGCACACTCACATCTCGCGTGGTGTCATGCTGATTCCAGCAAGCCAGGCGGGCACAGGGAGTGTCTGTGTCTTATCTCTCCCATCTCGCTCCTCCTCACACCACCACGCAGACATGTGACTGTGTGCACAGGCATGCACACACAAGCGCACACTCGTGCACGTGCCCACACACGCCCGCACATATGCACGCATGCACACATGCACACAAGCACATGTACCCATGCACACACGCATGCACACACACAACCATGCACACATACACACACGCACATACGCACAAGCATGTGCACAGACACATGCGGGCACAGGCGCTCACACACGCAAGGACATACGCACACACAATCGTGAGCACACAAGCATGTGCACATACATTAACACACGTGCACACACACACGCACAGCCCCCTCCCCCCCAATACATGGCACTCTGGTCCAGCCACATGTGGCAATTTAAAGCACAAGCCCTGGACTCAAATAAACCTGAGTCCAAACCGCCCACTCTACCTTTCAGTTGCTGACGGAAAGGCTCATCTTTTTTTAGGGGGAGCAGGGGATAAGGGGCCCCTCCAGTGATTCTAGGCCAGCCGGTCGGCCAGGGGTTCAACGCAAGGGCCCCTGGACGTAGTGACACTCTGGCCCAGAAGTACCACAGCGGCCTCCAGGGCGGCACCCAGAGATGCTTGGGGAACCACGTGGAACCAGAAATGGAGCCGGAGTGGTACCAGAGATGGTACCCAGAGATGGAGCCCAGTCCGGGCACATGCTAGGCGTGCAGCCTGACCGCTGTATCTCTCCCAGAGGAACCAGAGGAAGCCACTTTCTTTTTGGTTGGGGCGGGGGGGGGGGGGGGGCGGGGGGGGGGAGTGGGGGACTGTCACCTCCAGCAGCGCTGGGGGCCGTGTGGTGCTGGGGATCAGACCCAGGGCCCCTGCACACACGGGCTGCTCCCCAGCCCTTGGGCCATGGGTCCAGCCCCAGGGGAAAGCGGCTTCTGAGCCCCAGTTCCTTCAATGCTAACACAGATCTTACTCTCCTCCCCAAACGCCATGGCTGTGGGTGAACGAGGCCAAATTCAGCTCTCATTTATAAAGAGAAACTTCCGTTCCCACACCCGAGGGCCCAGAGCCAGAGTACAGTGGGGCAGGAGCACAGAGCGTCCGCAGCTGAGCTGGGGTCTCTTCCAGCGTTCCCGAGGGTCCCCTGAGCCCCACCCGGGAGTGATCCCCGAGCACCGAGCCAGGAGTAAGCCCTGAGCATCAAGTGTGCCCCCCCACCCCCCAGCCCAAAATAAAACAAAATTTCCCCCACTGGCACTTGGACACAGCTCGAAATACTCATCAACTCCGAGAACGGCAGTTGCACAGGACACAGGAAGTTCTACCCGGGCTGCAACGGGGTGTAACGGGGTCCCCTCACCGACACGTGGACTCACAGTCCCAGACAGGGCGACCCTCCCGCCTTCCTCCTTCTGACCTCCCCCCTGCTTACCTCTCCTCCTCAGGGGTCTTGCTGCGTCCTCCAGGGCTCTCAGCAGGCCCCTCCTGGGACTGAGCCTTAGAGAGGGTCCCGCCGTCCTCGTCGCTGGCACCCGGCCCCACGCTATAGGTCCTGGATCCGTACCTGGAGCTGCCATCGTGGTTGAAACTGAGGCGGGAGCCCCAGAGGCGGTCGGGGCTGGCGGGGGGGCTCCTTGCGTGGCTGTTCCATCTTGGCAAGGATCTCCTCCACCGTGGAGGGCCGCGAAGCGCTCCGAGGCGGGGCGGAAAGGGGCCGGGGCCTTGCGCACCCCCGCAGGGGCCGGGCAGCGGGCTGGGGGGGGTCGTCGGGGGGAGGTCTTCTTTCCCCGGCCTCCTCCTTCCCCGTCTCTCCTGCGGAAGGAGCCGCCTCGGCCATGGAGCGCGTTGGCAAAGGGAAGGGGTCGCTTGCTGCCCCCGTAGGGCTGGGGTCCCCGCCAACATGTTCATCTTCCGGGCGGACGGCAGCTCGGCCAGGGGGCCCCGAGGGGGGCGAGGCCCAACGGGTACCAGCAGGCTGGGCTTGGCCGGGAGGGCTGGCTTGGCAGGCAGGGCCCGGGGTTTCGGCTTGACAGGGGGTTTGGCTGGAGGGTCACCTAGCGAAAGGAAGGGGGCGATTGTGGGGGGCAGGGAACACCTTCCAGGAAAACCAGGAAGCAGGACTTCATTTTACCTTCTCTCCCACCCCCCACCCCCGCCCCACCACTGCAGACTCAGACTTCTCAGCTCATGTCACATGTCACCTGTCCACCAAGTCAGCCTTGATTGTCCACACACTTTACAGAAGCACCTTCTCCCTTCTCCAAAACCGGACCAATGCCTGGTCACTTCCCCTTAGAGGCCGACGCTAATTAAGGGCCAGCTGGGGCCACTCCCACCCACCCCAGCTTTTTCTCACATCCCACTGGACACCCCCCCTGCACACACCCCCTCCCCCGAATAACTGATCAAAGGAACCAGCAAGCAAATGACTTGGCTGAGGTCAGTCACCCTCTGTCCAGCTGAGCTTCCCCACTTGGCCTCCTGACCACACCCCCACCCCCCTCCCACCCCCAACTCAAGAGCACAGCCCGGCCACCTCCCCACGGCCACCTCCCCACGGTCATCCGGTACGAGCAGGAATGCAAACTTACTATTGACCTGAGCCAAACACAAGTCAATCTGCTACAGGAAGAAAACAAGGCCGGCGGGTGGCCTTCTATATAAGGCAGTCCAGGGCCGGACAGCGCTCGGAATCACTTACTCACGGGCCACAGCCCTTCCAGGAGATCCCCACACACTGCCCACTCCTTGGGCTCGGCCTCGAGGCTGGCAGCCAGGTGGCCCGAGGTCACACCCCCACGGGGACAGGTCACTTCTCCACTAGGAGGCCTCAGTTTCCCTGTCCAGCTTGACACTCGCCATCCCCGAGGCCACTCTGCGCCTACCTGCAGGGCTCCAGGGTCTTAAAACAGTTCTGGGGGGTGCTGAGGCAGCAGGAGCTTCGAGAACCTTCAGATCATATCCTGCACTGACACCCCCCCACCCCCACCCGCACCCCATGGGCTTCCCACCCACCTCCCTGGGTGGCACAGGGCCTCTGCCCTTCCCCCATCTCCACCCGGCACCCATGGGTTACCTGGCTCTGAGCCGGCCACCACCGGCTCCTCCTCCAGCTCCCGGGGCGGTGGGGAAGCCATGGCCATGCTTTCCCTGAGAGTAGACACTTTCATCACCCACGGCAGGACCTGCGTGAGAATCGAGAAGCCCCGGGCGGGGGCAGGGGGGGGTGAGGCTTGGAGACCCCAAGGGAGCCAGAGCAGGAAGGGATGGTGCAAGGAGGGGAGAGGAGAGGAGGGGAGGGGAGGGGGGGTCCCCGCAGGAGGCTGGGCCAGGAAGTCTCCAACTTCCATTGAAGGCAGCAGCGTGTGGGACAGGAAGAGGGAACTTTGCAAGGGGGGTGCAAAGGGTTCAGGGGGTTCCCCCCACCCTTGGCTCCCAGCAGCCAAATCCTCACTTCTTTCCCAGGCCCACCTAAAACTCTTGCTTCTAACCTGCAGGGACCCCCCGCCCCCCCACAACACACACACACACACCCACACACCTCACCCGCTGCCTCCCTCCCTCCTCTGGCCAGCTTTCCAAAGACACCCCACTCACCCCTCGGGTCTGGCGGCCCGGCCCGTTGGAGGTATCGGTTCCTACCTAAACCTGGCCCGAGTCTGAAGCCTGTGAATCACCTCCTGGGAGACGGGAAAAACCCGCTCCTCCCTGACCTGCAGCCCCGCCCCGCCCCGCCCCGCCAAGGCCTCCCTCTTCCCCGCTGCCCTGCCCGGCTCCTCTCCTTCCTCCCCTCCCTCCAGCAGCTGGGAGTGGTTCCCTCAGCCCCCTTCGCCTCCTCCCTCCACAGCCCGGCCCCCACGCCCGCCTCCCTCCGAGCTGTCTCATCCAAACTCGGAAAAATAAGGAATAAAAAGTAAACATCTGGAATACATTTTTTTTTCTCTCTCTCTCCCTCTCTCTCTTTAATTTCTCAATCGCTTTGGCTTCAGCTTGGAATTTGATGAGGTAAAAGCCAGGGCCTAGTCCTGTTGCCATAGCAATGGCCTCCCACTGGATTTCCAAAGCCTTGCCAAGAGGAAGGAGGAGCCCGGCCCAGGGCGGGGAGAATGGGACAGGGCTTGGGAACATCCGGGGGGTGGGGTGGCCTGGGGGAGAAGTCTCTGAGGCACCCCTTTCTACTACGGTCTGGGTGGGACAGCAGGGCTACTGAGGGGGGGAACCTGTGAGCACTGGTCACCAACCTGGGGGGGGGGGCGGTGGGAGGGGAAGAGGAGGAAGCAGGCAGAAGAAATTTCAGACCAAGTGACACACAGTCCGGTGACAGATGCCAAACAGGTGTCCCTCCTCTAAGCTGAGATTGGGAACCGGAGCTTTCCGGGATGTGCTCTGACAAGATTCTAGCACGAGGCGGGTCTGTCATTCTAGCACCTCGGGCACACCGTGGCGTCCTCCGCTATGCCTCAGTTTCCCTCTCTGAAAACCGGAGTTGCTGAGATAGTGGGGAGGCCTCAGAGAGGCCATGTGAGCACAGGGCTTACTGTACGCTGCTTAGCGGCTGTGTGAGTCTGAAAAAACATAGATGTTGGGGCTGGAGCGATAGCACAGCGGGTAGGGCGTTTGCCTTGCAAGCGGCCAACCCGGGTTCAATTCCCAGCATCCCATAGGGTCCCCCGAGCACAGCCAGGAGTAATTCCTGAGTGCATGAGCCAGGAGTAACCTCTGTGCGTTGCCGGGTGTGACCCAAAAAAAGCCAAAAAAAAAAAAAAAGTAGATGTTGGCCATTACTAGGAAGAGTCCCTTCAGGGTCCACCAATGACCTAACACCCTTGGTACTCCTCTCCCGGGCCAATTCCTTCTCTCCACCCCAGTCCTGTCACCTGTCTCCCAGACACCACTGCCGCCACCTCCTCAGTTCCCATCCTGGCTCCCACCCACAGCCCACCCCCCCCACCCCCACCCCAGGCTAGAGAGCCTGAGGGACAAGGCCCGTTCTGTGCCCAGGAAGGGGTGTGCTTCCCTCCACCCGGTATGCACAGGTCCCCCCCCATCCCCCTCAGGACACCCCAACCATCCCCAACCCGCAAAGGGGGACTTGTCTCCAACTCACTCACTCTGGCTAGCCTGGTGCAGGCACCCCTGGCCACTGGCTTCTGCCAAGCTCACCTCCTCTTCTCACTCGGGGTCCCACCCAGCTCGCTCGAAACGTGGGTGCCGGGGAAAGGGGACCGAGCTCTGGGCTGAGGATAGCCCCGCAGTTACCGAGGAAGAACAGCTCGCTCTGAGTGGGTGAGTAACTGTGCAGAGCCCGTCCAAGTGTGTGTGTGTGGTGGTGGGGGGGGAGGGGACACAATTAAAATAACACAAGATTGTTTCCTTGTCCTTGAATACTATTCTAAGGGACACGGAGTGGGCGGTTAGAAAGGAGAGCTAACTGGCCCCCAGAGGGTAAAACCCCTGCCCCTGGTAACCTGATGGCAACCTCTGCGGTAGGTGGGGCTGCTGTCCAGAAAAGGGAGGTGGGGAAGGGGGTCCGCTCCCCCCAGCTGAGGAGGAGCAATGAGCAGCGCAGAGCCCCCTCCCCCCCAAGGCAGCAAACCCAAGTGACCGAGGCCCCAAGCGGCAAACCCAAGTGAATGAGGCCACGCACGCACGGCCCAGAGCTGGCCCAAAGCTGTAGAATCACTGTGACTCTGAGCGCTCGCTCCCTACCCCAAGAGTCAGTGTTGGAGTAGGGGGTTGGGGGGAGGCTGGCTGACTCCCCGGCGAAGGCCGCCAGAAGGGCTGGGCAGAGGCCCAGCCGGGCCTGCTCCAGGCCGGGGCAGCTGCCCAGCGAGGTCGCCCCTCTGGGCCCCGGGGATCTGCAGCTGGATCCGGGGCCGGAGCGGTCTGCAGGGCCGGCCCGGGAACTGCGGGAGGAGGGAGGGATACCGGGCAGAAGGAACAGCCCGAGGCCGTCTGGAGGGGCCCAGTGGGGAGCTCTGGACACAGAGGGGACCGCGGCAGCCCAGGAGGAGGAGGAGGAGGAGGAGGGGGCGGTGCGCGGGATGCGAAGCAGCGGGCAACAGACGAGGGACTGGGGACGCGGGCCGGGTGGGGGCGGCTGGGGGCGTGCCGAGGGGTGGGGGAAGGGGGCTTGCCGCTGGACCCAGGGAAGGGGCAGCGGGGGTCTCTGCGGCCCCTCCTCCCCCCGCCCCCTGGCCCCGCCTCGGCCTCGCCCCCTCCCCCAACACCAGCTCCCAACTCCGGACCGTGCACACGCGTCAGCGTGCCCCGCGCTCCCCCACCACCCCACCCCCCCGGAACCCCCGTTTGCCTCTTGCAAACTTTACTCCCGACCCCCGCCGCCACCTCTCTTTCCCTCCAAGCCCCGGGGCCCGGCTGGCCAGCGCCCCGGCGCTCCGGCCTCTCCCCCGCCCCCCAGTGGCGGACCCCGCCCCCGCGCACTCACGCGCTCCCCACGGGCTCCGGCTCCGCACGCCTCGGGCTCGGCGCCCCGACGCCAATCCCCGCCGCCGCCGCTGCCGCCGCTGCCGCTGCCGCCGCCGCCGCCGCCGCCGCGGTCAGCGCCCCGCGCCAGCCCCGCCGGGGCCCGCCCCCGGCCCCGCCCAGGCCCACGCCCCCGGAGCGCCTCATGAATATGCATGAGCCGGCGGCCGGGCACCACTCGCCGGGTCGTATGCAAATGAACGCGGCCCGGGGCGGGCTCAATTATTCATGAGCTTTGCAGCGGCCCGACCCGCCCCGGGCTGAGAACCGGGCGAAACTGACGCAATTCAGCCGCTCCAAGCGCGTGGGCAACGTGGCCAACGAGACGGCTGCCTAGAGAGGACGCGGCGCGGGCGGCCAGGTCTTCCCGCGGCCCCGCCGCAGGGTGAGGGATGCGCCTAGGGGAGTCCCGCCTAGGGAGGAGGTTGCCGCGGGCCCACGCAGTGGTTTCCCAGGGAGGTGAACCCCTGATAACCTGCTCAGCGTGGCGCGCCCCCGCCCCCCCCCCCCCCCGCCTCTCTCTCTCTCTCTCTCTCTCTCTCTCACACACACACACACACACACACACACACACACACACACACGTATGCAACTTCGGATTTTGATCACCCAGAAAGATAGGGCGGGCTTCCTTGATTATTCTCATTAATCTCCCGTTAGGTGTTAGGCCCCTATCCCCTTGGTCGGTCCTTCGCCACAAGAGCCAAAGCTTCAAGCATCCACAGGCATGCCACACCTTTTCCTGCAAGTCCTTCCATCCCTCCCCAAACTCTCTTCAGGTTCGGGTTTCCATTCCCCTAGGTGCAGGGAGGCTAGTCAATCCTGATGCCATTATCTAAAGCCTTAGAAGACCCTGAGCTCATAGGTGATGAAGGCTGGAGCCCGGAGCTGCCTCCCTGCGCCTGGCTAATGGAGTGGGACCGCCAGAGAGACTTCCTAATCAGATCAGCTCTCATTTCTACACTCTCAGGTTGGCCCCGCTGGGCAGAAGAGGGTGAAAACCAATGCTTGTCCAGCCGGGAACAGAACAGCAAGCAGCCGGGAAGAGAACAGCAAGTACCTGGAGACTGGCTTCCTGGCTGGTAAACAACACCCAGGAAATGAAGGACATGGTTTCCAAAGTCAGTTCCATTTATTAAATGTTGATTTTTCACAGACCAGAGATACAAAATAAATGTAGAAATAGGACCCCCCCCCCACCCTTAGGAGCGTTGGGTCTGACCTCACATGACCCCCTGCTGCAGCAACTTGAACAGGACAAGCGGCACACAGGACAAGCAGCAGCCGTCCGTAAGGTCGGGGGACTGGACGAGGCTGTGGATCCTGTCCGGCTCTGCCTCCCACCCAATCTCCCCACACATCAGAGTCGTCCTGGCGGCCGGGCGGAGGGAGCCCCTCCCTCGCAGTCCCCGAGGATGCGCGCCGCCAGGCGACCTAGCTCGGGTGGCACAGAATCCGAGGGCTACACTGCATGAGACACTGGTACCAAAGCATGAGTGGGGAGACTTGGAGGAGGGGGGACCGGGCAAGCGACGACGGAGACGGGAATGTTCCTCCTCTCTACTCATCGGATCCGGATGCCGAGTCTTCCGAGCTGGGTGGCGAGCTGGCCAGTTCCTCCTCCTCCGAGTCCTGAAAAACACAGGTGTCGTTACGGGGAAGGGGGAGGGGAGCCTCCCCAAGCCCCTTTACAGTGTGACAGCCCACCCTATCTCACCCCCAACCCCATTCTGAACCCTCTCCAGAAACTCCAGCACTCACCTGCCAGACCTCCAGCCAGCGTCAACTCTCTGCCCCACCTCAAGACTCAGACCAGCCCCAACCCAGGCCCACCAACTCCGATATCCCCTGCCCTCCTGGGTCCCACACCCCCCAACCCATCACCCCTCCTTGTCACCCCCACTCCTGGCGCACCTCACTCTGCCTTCTCTTCTTTTTGCTCTTGTTTTCTTCTGACGAGCTCTCATCACTGGACACGAACTCTTTGCTCTTGAAGCTTTCGCTTAGCTGCCTTGACGAAGACTTGGACGAGGAGCCCCGGGAGGGCGTTGATTTCTTTTCCATCTTTACCTTCACTTTCTTCTTCTTCTTGGACTTGTCCCTGAAAGAGCGGGGGGAGAGAGCTCTTGCCTTCCTGTTCCCCCTCACCTAGGGGCCAGCCTCTCCTCTCCCCAGCCCAGCCACTCTGCCCGTCTCTCTCAAGGTAAACAGCAGCCCCATGAGCCCTACGGGAAAACAACGACAAGAACTCATCAACAGGGCCTGGAGCAATAGCACAGCGGGCAGGGAGTTTGCCTTGCACACAGCCAAACCCGGGTTCAATCCCCAGTATCCCATGTGGTCCCCCAAGCACCGCCAGGAGTAATTCCTGAGTGCAGAGCCAGGAGTAACCCCTGAGCATCGCTGGGTGTGACCCCAAAAGGAAAGTACCAGTACTGTCACCAACAGTATCAGGGGCCACAGCCTGAAACAGCTTCACAGGCAAGACTCATTTGACTCATCTGACATGAAGGGGGGCTCCCCTAATCACGCTAATCATGCTGCCCATCATTAATGTCCAGCCCCACCCTGAGTTGTGTGGTGGCCCTGAGTTGTCGCTGGGAGTAAACTCAGAGCACATGCAGGAATGACCCAACAACCCCCCCAACCCCGAGTCTACATGAGCCAGGGTGATTGCTAAGTGGTTCTGTGCATTTTTTATTTTTGTTTTTTTCTTTTGGGGCCAAACCTGGCAGTGCACAGGGGTTACTCCTGGCTCATGCACTCAGGAATTACTCCTGGCAGTGCTCAGGGGACCCTATGGGATGCTGGGAATCAATCCCGGGTCGGTTGCGTGCAAGGCAAAAGCCCTACCCGCTTGTGCTATCGCTCTAGCCCCTCAGTGCATTCTTTAAACCAGTCATGGGTTTAACTCCCAGCACTACCACGCCTGCAACAAAGTAACAACCACCTATAATTATACTCCATAATGCTTTGTTTCAACCACAGAACCAACGGTAAAACTGACCCTCTAGAAAAATGGGTCATATTTTATCCAATTATTCCATGAATATTTTTTTAAAATCATTTTACCAATATTGGGCCACCAGTCCCACCTACCAGATTCGAGAAGCGCTGCTCTAGATACGTCAGAAACGTACCAAGCCGCCAGAAGACAGCGGTTGAGGGGGCTTGCCTTCTAGCCAGTTGACCCCTTCCAATCCCGGCCGGGCAGGTGGCCCAGGCCACCCACCACCCCCTCTTCCCCCAGCACTCACTGAGTGTGTTCAATCCCATTTGCCAGAGATGCAGATGCTGTACTGGTCTGTTCCAGACACTCACCTCTTAGAAGACTCGCCCCGGCCCCCTTCATACTCCTTCATGGCCTTTTCATACTCCCTCCTGGCATCTTCGGCCTTGCGATCCCACTCCTGTTTGACAAACGTGTCCGCGCCAACACGCGGAAACAAGAGCAAACCATGAGAGCGGTTCAAGGCCAGGCGTCCAGGGCCAAGTCCCACCGAGGGTCCGTCCTTGCCGCAAGCGGCCGACCCTCGACTCCGCCGCCGCGGCTCACCTCTTTCTTCTCCTTGGACATGCCCTTCCAGATCTCGCCAGCCTTCTTGGAGAGGTCGGTGATGCTAATACCGGGGTGGTCTGACTTGATCTTCTCTCGGCTGGCGTTGAGCCACAACATGTACGCAGACATGGGCCTCTTGGGGGCATTGGGATCTTTGCCCTTCTTCGTCTGTAGGAAAAACGAGAGATGGTCCAGCGGGTAAGCGCAGCGGGGAAGGCGCGCTGCCGTGCACACACCTAACCCAGGCTCCACACCCCGAAGGGTAGGACCCAAGCCAGCCCCTCCGGGACTCATCCCTGGGCACACGGCCGAGAGGAAACCTGGAGCACCACTGGGGGTGCTTCCCCCCCAAGAGCCAAAATGCCTTCATCAGCCAATCCCCCGAGACTATGCCCTCCATCCTCCCATCCCTGAACACACACACACACACACACACACACACACACACACACTTATTCACCTTCCCCGGGCCTAAGAGCCTCCTACATAGAAGAACCATCCCAGTGCCTAAGACCCAGCCCTTCCCGTGGGCCCCTGGGACAGAGGCCTCCCGCCAGGCTCCTGATTCAGAAACGCATCGTCTCAAGACCAGAGGAAAATATCCCAACTGCTCTGAAGGCTGCAAACTAGCTACCAAAGTCAGCTCTGAGGAGAGACAGGGAGGCAAGAGAAGGGACCCCCACGCCCTCCCGGCCGGGCAAGCGTCTACCTCCGCGGGCTTCTTGCGGCTCTTGCGATCTTTGTTCATCTTGGCCTTTTTCAGCTGTTTCCGTTTCTTCTCGTCACGGTCACTGTCGCCCTCGTTACTGGAGGAGCTGGCCGAGGCGTTGCTGTCAAACCTGCCGTGGGGGGGGGGGGGGGGGGGGGGGGTGGTGCGGGAGTTACACTCAGGGAAGGACAGACAGCACTCCCACAAGGGGAGCCGGAGGACCCCAGGAGAGCCGCGGCGACCAGCCCCCAGTCCTGCTCCTCCCCTGCAGAGGCTTTGCAGCCAACCTGTCTCGGCCAAGCTTGGCAACAGACGGCCCAGGGGATGAAGCCAGATCCCACCCCATCCCCCATGTGCCCAGGGGACAGAAAAGCAGCCTTGTCTGTGCGTAAAACATACCCCAAATCTACCACCCATTCCTACCTCCCTTTGATTTTAGTCATCTTGATCCACCTTAAGAGTCTTTTCTGGTGAAAACCCACTTTGAGACAAAGCAGCGCATGCCCAGATCATTCTGTTCAATCCAGCCCACCTACCCAGAGGAATCCTCACAGACTGCTATTTTCAGTTTTGCTTTTTTTTCCCCCCCTTGGGGATGGGGGGGTCACATCTGGTGATGCTCAGGGATTACTCCTGGCAGTGCTTTGGGGGGGGCCATATGGGATGCCAGGGATTGAACCCAGGTCAGACACAGGCAAGACAAATACCCTACCCACTGTGCTATCGCTCCAGCCCCCTCTGCTGTCAGTTTTTAAAGCATTCCCCACCCCACCCCCCCACTTGCTCATTGGCCTTCAGAAGCCACGCGGCAAAGCGAACTCCTTGTGCTAATGGACACCTGGTTTCTGTGGCCGACCTCCACTCTCCAGTTTCCGGGAGGGGCAGTCCCAGTTCTGTGTCGGGACCCACCTGCCCACACTGGGGAGGGGCTCACCTCCAACTGCAACAGCTAACAGGCAGCGCAGGACAATCAAGTAACTCAGCTTTGGGAAGCAACCACATTTACTGCTACGCTAAGAGGCACTTTCTTGTGTTACTTCATAAAGCAGTAAGGGCTAAGCCTGCCCAGAGCTTCTGAAAAGACACTCGAAGCTCCCTGGGGGGGCAAACCTACCTAGAACTAGACACAACAGAAACAGATTCTCCGCCACTGTGGAGCTCCTGGATGCAGATGGCCTGGGCCTGGGACTCTCCAGTTACCAGAACTCATGAAATTCCCTTTTAGGCTCAGGTCAGTTTTGAACATATTCCTCGCGCTGGCCATCAAGAGTCACAACCCAGCCTGGGAAGATGTTTATGCTTCACCAGTGAGGACCCGGATGCACCAGCTGACCCAAGGACTCCAAGCCAGGGCTGGGCAAACCTGTTTCTCCATCCCTCTCTCCCTACACTTCCTGGCTTCAGTGTGCCTTACTTTTTTTTTTTTCCTTTCTGGGTTACATTCGGCGATGCACAGGGGTTACTCCTGGCTCCGCACTCAGGAATTACTCCTGGCAGTGCTCAGGGAATCGAACCCGGGTCGGTCACGTGCAAGGCAAACACCCTACCCACCATGCGATCGCTCCAGTCCCCATTCAGTGTGCCTTTACGTTTAACAAAGCCCTTGATCATTTCAAAAGCACCTTCACGTCCCACCTCATCACTGGGGCAGCTAATCTGTCCTTTCCACCCTGGGCCAGCAGCTCGGCCCTGGACAAACGTGTCCAGAAATCTGGTCCCCTTCAGCTTATCGGCTGCAACTGCAGCCCCACGCAGTAGAACCAAAACTCACTCCTCGGCCACGTCTTCCTCCTCTTCACCTGGATTGAATGACTCATCTGAAACGCACACACACAAACACAAGGACACGCATCAGTGCACGCCTGGGCTTGGTCCTGCGAACCAATCCCCCTCCCTGGCCCGGAGGTCCCAGCTTGCCCACCGCCACAGCCCAGCAGCGCCTGCGGGAAAGCCACAGGAAGAGGTAGGGGATGGGGGCACCCACCGGTCTCTTCTCCGGAGTCATCGCTGCTGTCGTTGGCGTTTTCTTCCCGAATCTTGCCCTCCTCTTTCATCCGCTCCAAATAGGCGTCATGCTGGTCTTCGTCGGAGTCGGCGTACTCGTCGTAGGTCGGGTTCATGCCCTGGCCCGGGGAAGAGAGGGGAGTGAGGCACCAATTCGCCCTGGCGCCACGGCCCCTGGCACACTCCAAAGCACTCCCCGCCCCAGGCCTGTGAGTTAAGGACCGAGCCGCAGCCCCCAGGAGACCAGGGGGGAGGGCTGGATTGTTGCGTACAGCCAGCGTGCAGGGGGGCCCTAGGCCCGAGGCCTTCCTGCCAGTGGGGTTAGTCCCAGCCCCTCCCTCTCCCAGCCCCGCTGGGGGCTCCTGAGGGGCCACAGAGACTGAGCTAAGGTCATGCTAAGGAAACCTGCACCCGGAGGGTCCCACGCACCTCTTTTTTCTATAGGAGTGAGAAAAGAAAAGGAGTGAAACAGAAGCCAGGAAATCCCTGCCACCCTGTCCCACCGCCACCACCACGACCACGACCACGACCGTCCTCCCCACCGCCACCACCCCACAACCCCTCGGCGAAAGAATGGGAGCCCCGAGGCTGGGCCTTGCCACACCACACAGAAGTACCTCTTTCAAGCCTCGGTTTTTGATGTTGAGCTTCTTGGCGTTGACGAAGTCAAACAGCTTCCCGTACTCCTCCCTGCGAGGGGAGATGCAGACGGGCAGCAAGGCAGGGGGGTGCGGTGCACCCCGCTCCGCTCCAATAGCCAGGGGCCAGATCAGAACACGGTCTCCAGCCCAAGAGCCCCGAGTCCCGTCCCCCCACACCCCACCTCCAGGCCAGCGGCAAGGAAGAGTCAGGCGCTAGCCTTGCAGGAACTCCCCAAAGCACCAGGAAAGGAAAAGGACAGGGAAGCAGTGTGCACCTGCTTTCGAATAAGCAGAGGGCAGGAGACGGGCCCAACTGCATCGTCTGTTTTGTTTTTCACTTCACTGCTCCCGAGGCGGGACTCAGGTGGAACGCATGAGGCTATCTGTGACCCGCGCTGAGCCCACCGCAAGCGCTCTCATTCAACATTTAGCGGCCGTGTAGCAGGGAAAGCTGACGGCGGGCAGTTCCACAGGGAGGGAGGGAGGGACGGTGAGGGAAGAGAGAGAGAGAGGCGCACGAAGAGCACAGACTTCGAAGTGCCGAAGGAAAAAAAAAATGAGGGAACAGCTGGGGCTGGAAGGACAGACCAGTGGGGAGGGAGTTAGCCTTGCATGTAGCCAAACCAGGTTCTATCTCTGGCATCCCATATGGCCCCCAAAGCACCTCCAGGAGTGATTCCTGGTTGCAGAGCCAGGAGCAGCCCCTGAGGATCCCCAGGTGTGAATTAAAAAGGAAAAGAAAAAAAAAGAGCAGCTTCTGGAGGCTGAGAGCTCCGAGGACCAGGACCAATGGCAGTGCATCGGTAACAGCTGGCACCAGGTTTAGAGCTGGGGGGGATCTCCTCCCCTCTGTCCCCCCCGCATGGTGGCGAGGCTCGCACCTCTCAATGCTGCTAAAGGTGTACTGCGTGCCCTGCTTCGTCTCGATCTCAAAGTCAAAGGAGCGCGTGGTGGTGGTGCCCCGGGCGAAGTTGACGAAGGAGATCTCGTCGAAGCGGATGTGCACGGGAGGTTTGTGGACGTAGATGAAGCCCCGCTCCAGCGGGTACAGGAGGCCTGAGCTCGCCTTGTAAGAGCAGGTGATGCACTGGGCGCCTGAGTGCCTGGTGGAGGTCCAGGGTCATGGGTCACGAGCTCCGCAAGCAACAGAGCCAAAGGGCATCACCTGCTCAGGTCAAGCAAGGCAGCAGCCCTCATGCGGCCCGGGCGATTCCCCTCGGGAGACGACCCAGCCAGCCCCACAGACGCGGTGCTCCCCCCTCCTGGGAGACAGGGCAGGACCCCCAGGCCTGCGCCCTCACCCTTGGAAGTTGCCCGGGACCGTGATCTTGCGGTTCACCAGCGCTTTCATGACCCGGCTGACCATCTCATAGAGAGACCCCGACATGTTCTTGGTGAGCCGTCCCTCGAAACGCTTCTCCACCTCCTCCCTGCAAACGGAGGAAGGCAAGGTTGCGCCTTGTGCCCAGCGCACCAGGGCAGGGGACACGTGCCCAGAGACTCACTCGTTCATGTTAAGCGTCAAGGAGATGTCTTCGTCTTTGGAGAAGAGAAGAATCAGAAAGTGGTAGCGGGTCTGACCCTGCTTGATGGGGGGGTCCAAGCTGATCTGGGGAGGGAGAACCATCGTGGTTTAACACTAGTCAAGATTGCACCAAAGGGGCTGGAGCGGGGAGGGCATTTGCCTTGCACACGGCCGAACCGGGTTCGATTCCCAGCATCCCATATGGTCCCCTGAGCATGGCCAGAAGTAATTCCTGAGTACAAAGCCAGGAGTAACCCCTGAGGATGGCCAGGTGTGACCCAAACCCCCCCCCCAAAAAAGGAGTCCACCAGAGGGGCTGGAGCAATAGGACAGCAGGGAAGGCGTCTGCCCTGCACACAGCTGACCTGGGTTTGATCCCCATCATCCCATACGGCCCCCTGAGCACCGCCAGGAGTGATTCCTGAGTGCAGAGCCAGGAGGAAGCCCCGAGCATCACCAGGTGTGGCCCCCAAACCAAAATCAAACAAGAATCCACAAACGAACACCAGCCAGATTTGGCACGCAAAACTCCAAGGCTTGGGGCTGGAGCAATAGCACAGTGGGTAGGGTATTTGCCTTGCACACAGCTGACTTGGGTTCAATTCCCAGCATCCCATATGGTCCCCTAAGCACCACCAAGAGTAATCCTGAGTGCAGAGCCGGGAGGAAGCCCTGTGAACCGCCAGTTGTGACCAAAAAAGCCAAAACAACAACAACAACAACAACAACAAACCCCAAGGCTTACTCCACTCTTGGTGGTGTCTGCTTACCACGAAGAACATCTGCCGCTGATCCTTGTGGGGCAGCAGAAAGAGACGCAGCACTGTGGTGTAGGGGATCTTGTAGTCGAAAGTCTTGCCGTGCAGGTGCAGAAAGGTGGGGTAGATGCGGATGTCGTAACGGCCTCGGGGAGTCAGGCACTGCAGCTCCCGGAAGATGCAGATGGCGTCTCCCGTGGCCTGGATCACATCTGCCTTTGACAGCACATTCTGGGCAAAGGCCTGCAAACACGGACACTGGTCAGGACAGAGCAATCCCTCGATGCGCTGAGCACAGCTGAGGCAGGCGGAAGGCCCAGCTGGGGAGTGTCCCCAACCCCCCAGCCCCTGTTCTGCCGGGTGTGGCCCTAGGAAATGAAAGCCCAGAAAGCAAAAAGCACACACTGGTGATTAAGCAGCAGGGAGCCCACCCCCAGGCCAGCTGGGACCCGCTCGGCACCATCTGCTCCCCGAGGCCTCACCTCCACGGGGTCCACGCCGTCCTCCTGGGTGGGGGGCACGTAGAAGCGCACCTCCATGAGCGAGACCTCGGCGTCATCGTTCTGGTGGAACTCCAGCGTCACCTCGTTCTTGCCCGTGGTGCACTGGGACACGTTGCTAAGGGGGATCTCAAAGACCGGCTGGTCCCCAATGTCGAAGGAAAGCAGCTGCCCTGTGGGAAAGGGCTTAGTAAGCCACATGGTCCCGGGCTCCTGTGCAACCATCCCCCCCCCCGCCCCCGGGACTGCAGGATCCCCGGGGACAGCGAGCTGGGCCCCTCCATCCGCCCGGCACTTCCACGGTCAGGTGCGAGAGCTTAGAGGCTGCTCAGCTCATAAATACATCATGAACTACAAAGTGACAGGAAATCAGAGACGGTGGCAGAAAGGGGTGCCAAAGCCAAGGAAAGGTGGCAACTCTACCTTCTCCCTGAAAATCTCGAGCTGCCCCAGAACTCACCACCAAACTTCACCGTTCCCCAGTTCCAGCCCTTCACACACAGGTCCTTCTCCACGAGCTCCAGGCGATAGTGAGTTTTGAAGAAATCACAGAGCTTCTCAAACTCCTGGAAGAGGAGGGCAGAGAGCAATCCCGGTAAATCGAGAGGGGCCTGCACCCAAGCCTGCACGCCAGGGGTCATTCCAATACTCTGAGAAAAGCTCCCGGCATACCCATGTTAGGAGCCCGTGCGAACTTACTCTCAGCTATAAAACTATTTGAAAGGATGGTGCAAGAGGCTGTTTGTGGGGATAGCGCTCAGGCTGAGAGGAGGGAAGTCGGGTACTAAGATCCTGGCTGGGGTCCCACAGTGCTATCTGATGCGGGGCAGGCACTGCTTACGATAAGAGCAAAAATGACAACACGAGAATCATCTTTAGCTAAAGCAGCTAAAAAAAGAAAAAAGAAAAAAAGCAACAAAACCTCAACTAAAATCATCCAGTTGCACCTGAGGATGGGTATAACCTACCCAAAAGCCAAACACATGGAGATCGGCTTCGTTCCTGAGACTCTGGCGCTACCGAATGTAACCTGCCCACACGGCAGAGTCTGGCAAACTCCCCCTGGCGTACCCAATATGCCAAATACCAGTAACAATGATGGGTCTCATTCTCCTAACCCTGAAAGAGCCTTGAATATGGCACTTTTTAAAATCTCAGGGCTACAGCGAAGAAGACGTTACTGATGCCTGCTCAAGGCAATCGACGAATAACACGATGATCGTGATCGTGATCCTGAGACTCTGACACCTAACGGGGTTGAACAACTGCCTGGTGACCCAGCCATGCTGGCCTGCTCCAAAGAGGCCGCAGCAAGCAAGCATACGGTTAATCAGAGGAAGGGGCCCCCATTCCTCTCCGAGAAGATTTCGAGATAGCACCTGGTAAAGGAGATCACAGACCCAGGGCAGCTCACCGACTCTCGGAAGCCATCATACTTGTAGACGTGGCCGTTTTTCGTGAGGAGTTTGAGTCCGTGGCCCAGAGCGACGCGGCGCCAGATGCCTTCCGTCAACTCCCCGGCCTGGATGTTGTCCACCTTGCCTGTCTTGCTGTTCTTGAAGATGATGCCCTGGCGGCTCAACCTCAACCGACCATCATTCTGTGGGAAAACAGGCCCAAATGCACTGCAGGGGTGGGAGGGGTGGGGGGTGGGGACAAAACCAGGGTCCCCAAGGTCCAATCCCGCCCAACAGCTGCCACTCTGGGCTGGCCAGACAGCAAAACAAGAGCAAGAGCTGAAGACAAGTGGCCAGGAAGTCTGCACTCTCCTCGTGGTTCCACATCCACCAAACGTGCAGTTCCTACGCTTCAAAGCTCAGAACTGCGGGCTGGAGGGACAGTAGGGCAGGGAAGGCGCTGGCCATGCAGGCTGTCCACCCAGCTTCTATGCCCAGCACTGCATATGATACCAGTAGTGAGCCCTGGGCACAGAGCCAACGGTACGTGCACCCTACCCCACCCCGCCCGCCAAAAAAGCAACACAAAGCAACTCAGAACTCAGGACTGAGTCCCAGATAAGGTCCCTTCAAGACCCACGATCTTGGAATTCTGTATTGTGTTTTCGTAGGGAGAAGCCTTGGTGGCCTTGGTGGCCTTTCCCCCAGGCATCCAACATTGACAAGTTCTTACTGGATACAGAAAGAAAGTAGCAAGCCTGAAGTCCACTCCCCTGCCCTCTCTCCGGGGCCAGCCCCAGCACGGCCTGCTCACCATGGAGCCTTTCACCTCCTGATAGACATCGTTGAACTCCAGGGTCTCGGCCATGCTGACCTGCCCCTACCGGCCTCCGCTGGGAGCCGGCCCCAACTCCGGGGTGGGCGTTGCAGCTCCTCCGCAGGTTGGGGAATCTGGATCTGGGAAGGAGGGAGCGAGAAAAAAAAGAGAGAGATTGAGAAAGAGAGAGAGATGCAAGCAAGGCCCGCGCCTCGCACCAGGCCCACCGATGCAACCAGGTGGCACCCGACCTCGGGTGGCTGGACGGACTCGGGGGCTCGGCTAGTGGCTTCGGAACCTCTCGGCGGGCTCTTTTTGCAGGACGAGCTCCGCAAGCAGGCCCGGCCCAAGCTGGCGACTCAGGCCTGGAGCAGCGCAGCCACCCCCGCCGGACCCCCGGCCCGGACCGCTCCAGCCGGCGCCATGGCAACGAGCCGCGGAAGCCTCGGGCCTGCGCGCAGCCCGCACCTCGCCCGCATATCCCCCACCCGGCGTGCACGATCGCCCTCCCTCCCAGCGCTCCCGCCGCGCCGCGACCCCCAAAACCCCGCACTTCCTCCACCCCCATCCCCGGAGATGGATTCGCCCGCGGCCCGCAGGTTCGAACGTGGAACAATCCATCGGCTGCGTCCCGCGGGGGGGGGAGAGCGGCGGAGAGTAGGGGGGGTCCGGCCCACGGCCACGGCGACCACCCACCTCCTTAAGCTGCAGCCTCCGGTACGGGCGGTGGGTGCGCAGAAGGACGCCGGGGGGTGGGGGGCGGGGACACGGGGGACCGGGGGGCACGCTGGGGGAGCTTTTCCCGCGTGCGCGGCCCCGCGTCCCGCCACCGGAAGCCGCGCATGGACCATAGAGAGGAAGAACTGGCTAGAGAGGCGCGAGCCGGCTCCGCCTCCGAGACGAGTCCCTAGAGCGTCGCCGCTCGCTCTGGGCTTGCAGAGGGAAGGAAGCTCGGCGGGCCGGCGGGCCGGCGGGCGGTGCGGGTCCTCGCGCGTCCCTCGTGGGAATCGGACTTGAACGGGGGCAGGCGGCGCGCAAGGCCGTGCCACCACAAGAAACGCTTCTCCCGCGGGGGACTGTCGGCTCGAGGGCGAAATTGTGGGGTTGTGATGCTTCAGAGCGCCCGCAGACGCGCGCGGGTGTGGGGGAACGAACGCGGGGTGGAAGGCGGCTGAGGTGGAAGGCGTCAGGGGTGGAAGGCTCCTGAGTGGAAGGTGTCTGAGGTGGAAGGTGTCAGGGGTGGAAGCCGACGGAGGTGGAAGGTGTCTGAGGTGGAAGGTGTCAGGGGTGGAAGCCGATGGAGGTGGAAGGTGTCTGAGGTGGAAGGCGTCTCTGAGATGGAAGCCGTCTGAGGTGAAAGCCCTCTGGGGGTGAAAGGCGTCAGGGGTGCTACCGCTCCAGCGCCAGGTGGTTCACGACCACGAGCGACGGAGTTGCAGTGACGGGAAGAGATAAGACCAGCCGTGAAGAGACTGGATCCTTTGTTGGCTGCTGCCCTGAAAACTTAACACCCCCAACCGCAAACGTTGCGGCTCGCCTGGTAGAGGCTGGCAAACCGCAGGACCGAGTTCAAGCGAAGCGCGGGTGCCGGCTTCCCCAGCCAGGAGGCCGGAGAGGATTGGAAATCGCCTGCAACCTCAGGGGAGTCGCGCCTCGCCCCATCCGCGCGTACTCAGGGCCACCTCGTCTTGCCTCTTGCCGCGGAGTGGAGCACCTTGCAAGTGATGTTCGCCTTTGCCGGGTGGGAGAACCCAAAGGCAGTCGCCTGCCCCCCCCCCCCCCCAGTCTCTGCCTTGCCAACAAAGTGGGGGCGAAGAATCCGGCTGTCCTCATCCACCCACCACCAGTCCTCTTTTTGTGTCACAAAATCACTGAGTTCAAAAACGATTGAGGGTAGCTTGTGGGTCCTGGCAAAGGCTTCAGGACAGAATCCAGTGGAACTCCTTCAGACGGGGCTGAGAATGTCTCAGCAGTAAAGCACACACCTCGCTTTTAGGAGATTTGGACTCGATCCCTGGGGGATGAGCAAATGTGTGTGTGTGTGTGTGTGTGTGTGTGTGCACATACATATTAATATATTTAATTGTATATGTTTCTCTAACTTAGAACAGTTACACCAGCTTGCTAATTCAGCCCTGGCTGAGAAACCAGGAAATGCCCTGTGGATCCCTGAATGCATAATTCTGGCCTTGATCCTGGCTATTGCAGCTCTGCCCAGCACCAGACGCTCAGCTGGATTCAATAACTGGGCATGCACAGCCATTCCCACACCTCTCTAGGGTTTGAGGGAACCAGTGGATGAGCTGGAAACAGCCTCATCCTGCCGGGAGCACATCATGGAATAAATGATTCCGGGCAGTCAAATGAGTCAGAACAAAAAGAAAATGAACAAAGTCCCCAATGCAATGACACTATGCTACAGGTCGCCCCCAACCTCGGCCGACCTGAGTAAGGACTCTAAGCTGTGTGTCACACACACCCTTTCCAGGAGGCCAAGGGAGTGGGGGATGGGGGTCAAGAACGGTCCCCATCTCCCCATCCTCACCCATGAGTTTAGTGGAGGCAGTTTCAGAAGACACAGGGATGGGTACAGAATTGAGGAAATTGAGGATCTTCTAGGATCTGTCCAGATGAGGGCTAGGGGAGGACTCGGGCAGGTCCTGGAGTGCTTGTGGGGCGGGGCACTGCCAGGGGCTTTCAGCTCAAAGCTGCTGGAAGGAAGAGGCCGCCTAAGAGAAGGCGCCGAAGCAGCGGTAGCCGGAGTGCTGATAAAACATGAGTCCCAGGGGGCCCCCGCCAGCTGCATCCCAGGCAATCAGGAGCCGGGGCTGGAGACCCCACCCCTGCCGTGTGTGACATCACAGGGGAGTGGGGTGGAGACGAACAAAACGGGGGTCCCCCGCCCTCCACCCTGGTCTTGGACTCTAAGCAGCCCCGAATGTCAAGCGCTGAGCAGCCAGCCTGGGCCCTTGGGCTGGGTGGCCTGGCTTAAAGGAACAGGCTTCCCCAGTCCTGGGGCCTCTCCCTAGCTGCCCCGTCCAGACTGCTCATCTCAGAGCACCAGTTTCCCCAAGGCTGCCACTGGGAGCGTCCCTCAGAGGGACCCCTGAGCTTACCCTCTCAACATGAATTGCGTGTCTGATTTCTTCACCTATGAGACCACCAAGTCTGTGGTGGTGAAGAGCTGGACCATTGGCATCATCAACCGGGCCGTGCAGCTGCTCATCATCTCCTACTTTGTGGGGTGAGTCTGGGCGCCGGTGGGTCCAAGGAGGGGAGGGGCCTCTTCAGTGTTGTTCTCCAGCCCCCCTGAACTGGATTTGTGTAGGGGTCACAGCCGCCTCTGTGGAGTCAGACCCCGCAACACCAGCCTGTGTAGGGAAGGTGGGGGGGTCCCCTAGCAGGGGTCTGGCTCCCAGATGAATTCATTTGCCCCCTTGGAGTACTTGCGTGTGGGTTCTAGCCAGGTGCTCAAAGAGTCATGCACCAGAGACCCCCACAAGTGTCCCTCTTCTCCTCCAGTGCACAGAGATCACCCCCAGACACACGTGTCTTCCCGCGCCCCACAACTCTTGGGGCGGGGGTTCAAACTCTGGAACCTAGAAAAGGGGAAGTGAAGACGCAGAAACTGGGACACAGTGACTCGGTTGGCATCTGGGGGAGAAAAGGACTCGGGCCCGCTGGGAACAGAGATGCAGTCTGAGTTGGAATCCTGCTGGCTTGGCCTGGGCAGAGGCTTAGGAGCTGGGGCGGGAGGGGGGTGGTGGGGGGTGGTGAGAGGCCCCAGCAGGGGGCTTTGTCCCTTTGGAGAACTGCATGGGGTGCAGAGAACAGTTGAAACCACACCAGTGGGGAAGACTGCGGAGAAAAGCGCCTCTCCTGAGTGGGACCCATCAGCTCTCCTGGAGAATCCAGAGACTCGAGCCCTTAGCCAGACAGTACGGGGGTTGGGGGGCGGCTTCTCGCTAACTCTGAGCCTTAGAGCTCAGCCCAGAAGCTGCTGAAGAACCAATAAGGTCCAGCCAGACAACCCCCAGAACCTCCACCTCTGGGTGCCCCCACAAACCCCCCTCATCACCACCTACACACACACACACACACACACACACACACACACACACACACACACACACACGGGGCTCCTAAGCCAGGAACAATGGCCAGGGGAAGTTCCAGTTCCCAGTTCATGACCTCCTTGTGGTCCCATCCGCATCCCCACGGGGAGAAGATACCTCCTCAAAGATTTTGTTCCTCATGTGCAGGTCTCTGCCCGTGTGACTCCCTGAGACAATGGGGGGGGATCCTCATGTGATAGCCAATGAGCCCCTGATCGGTGTTTGGGGGTACAGGGGCACGCAGCCCGTTGGACTCTGGGGCTGGGACAGTGTGAGGCTGAGGAGGTGTGGGGCGAGGCCCCTTTTGTTCCTTGCTGGCGAGGACCTGGGCTTTGTGCAAGCTGCAGCCAAAGTTGCCCAGCAGCGGGGCAGGGATTCAAGCTCCGGGAGGATGGGGGTGCATGAGATCAAATGACCTGGAGTTCCCTCCCAGCTTTGAGGTTGGGGCGGTGGGGTGTTTGCCAATGGCCTTTGTGCTGGACAGGTCCGGGCTCCACGCTGGCGCCCGCCCCATTCGGCATCGCCAGAGGCATGTCTGTCCAGGTAAGTGCAGACGCTGCCTCAGCACCCCGCCAGGCGGGCCGGGTCCAGCTGGCAGATGGACGGAGGGGGGCCGCCCTCCCCTGCCCAGCACCCCCCCCTTCCCGCCTGTCTCTTCTGCCATCCCTGGGAGCGCCCCTCGGGTCCTCAGGGCTGGCACATCCGGAGATGCTCTCTGCCTCCAGCTCTCTGGCCCATCCATCTCCCTCTGACAGCTCCCCATGGGCCAGCTCCTTGCAGTTCCATCAGCGCGTTCCCCGCTCCAACACCTCCCTCCCCCCCCGCCCTGCACACATGAGCCCTGGCACTCGGAGGACTTCATGAGCCCCTGTCGTGGATGTAGCACAGCATGCACACAGTGGGTCTCCGGCACCAGAATAGGACGGTGGGCAAAGGCAGTCAGGGATCTTGCACCTGGAGTCCCGCTGCATCAGATAATAAGCCTGCAGTCTCAGGGGAGTGGTGATGTTGGGGTTCAGCAGAGGAGGCGCTGGCCTGAGGTTTCTACTCACTTGCTCAGGGAACACAGTTTCCGAGAACTGCAGCACCCTTGGAGCCAGTCCCTGCAGGATGGCTAGATGGACGGACGGACGGGTGCCACTTGGGAAGGGAAGGAAATGGTTTGCGGTGGAGTGGTCTGAGCTTGGCCACCAGCAGGGACAGGGCTGCTGAAGTAAAGGGAGCAACGGTGAGGGCCCCGGAGACACAGGGGGAGCCCCAGATCTTTTGTTTCCAGAGAAAAGTAGTGGATGGGGAGTAGGTATAGCATTTTGTTGAGTTTTTTGGTTTTATTTTTGTTTGGGGGTCACACTCAGGGATGCTCAGGGCTTACTCCTGATTTTGCACTCCGGGATCACTCCTGGTGGGCTCGGGGGACCATATGGGATTCCAGGGATTGAACTCGGGTTCGTCGTGTGCAAGACAAACACTTTCCAGGCTCTACTCTCTCAGTGGTCCCTGAGTGTAGCCTTTTGGTCCGCTCCCACGGCTTTCCCTTTTGTTCTGGAGGTGGTGGTGGGGAGGGGGTGTTGTGCATTTGAGGTGCCTACACACAGAGATCAGTGGCGATCCCATATCCTGATGTGACACAGGGTTGCAGACCTCATGCGCTGTGCATATGGGCGACACCAGGAGTCAAACTCAGGGTCTCACACTTGCCAGGCAGGCGATGCTTTTACCATGGAGCCGCTCCTAGCCCCCACTAGAGACTTATCTAACTTATTAATCTAGTTTTTGGTTTTGAGACCACACCCAGTGGTGCTCAGGGCTTATTCCTGGCTTCATGCTCAAGGATCACTCTCAGCGGGGCCTGGAGGACCCTATGCAGACCCTAGGGATAGAACCCGGGTCTGCTGCATGCCAGGCAAGTGCCCTTCTCACTGTTCTCTCTGACCCCATGAATTCCCTTCTTAATCCCTCTTCGTTTTCTCAGTCCAACATAGCACCCCTAAAGGCTCCTGTCCACATCTGAAGTGACAGATACAGTAGGGAAAACCCTCTGGTTTCAGGTGCAGAGAAAGAACTGACTGTCATTCGGGGCTCCTCTGTCCTCACTGCATTGAACTGGAATGGGAGGCCCCTGGGTAGCAGCTGAGACCATCAGGGGTGGCTTGTATCTGGGGCTCTGACCTCAGTCCCGTCCCAGAGCCAGAAGTGAGGGACTCAGTAACAGTTGGCGATCTCATTCCCCAGACTCGCCATCCCTCTGCTCCCCCTTTCCCTCCATCCTCCTGGCACACACAAGTCCCACTCCCTGGTCTCCTGGGGAGCATAGGATGCTCTGGTCTTCCCACTGCCAAGGAGCTGCCACGCGCCTTCCGCTCTATAAATAATAAACCAGGAACTTGAGGGGAAAAAAATAAGTCAGAGGAGGAGAGAATGCCAAGAAGTGCGGTTCGCTCCTGCCCCGTCCTCAGCCCGGCCTCCCGGGACCCCAGGGCGCCCTTCCTTTCTGGAAGTGCAGCATCCCTCTTCCAGCCACCCTGGTGACATCTGTCCGCAGCCTTCGGGCCACTGAAATACTGAGATTCTTCCACTTGTTAGTTAACTGGGGGGAGGGGGGACACGCACACACTCCTGTGCCCCTCCATCCCACGGGGCATGGGGAGGAGGAAAGCCATTCGTTTCTCTCCAAGTGTCCTGACACTTGGGCTGCCTTGTCACTCCCACACCCTCAGGGTCAGGAAGCCATGCGTCCCATCAGCACTCAGACCCGTGGGTGGCATTAGCAGTCCTGGGACAGCTTCTTAAGATACACACACACACACACACGCACGCACGCACGCACGCACACATGCACACACGCCCTTGGCGCTGAGCCGACAGAGCTTAGGGGGACACACCGCACCCTGCTCCACTTCCTGCTCCTCTCTGGGGTGACACTGAGTGTGTGTGAGTCCTGTGGAGGGCCCCTAGTGAGGGTCCTCTCTTCCAAAGAAAGGAGGTAAAGATGGGAGAGATTGGAGGCAGGTAAGGCACTTGCCTTGCATGTGCCCACCCCGGTTTGATCCTGGGCACCACATGGGATCTCTCGTGTGTGCCAGGAGTAATCCCTGTACACAGAGCCAGGAGTAAGCCCTAAGCACTGCTGGGCCCCAAAAGTGTAAACTAATGAGGCCCTTAAAGCGACTGGCTGGAGCGACAGCACAGTCATAGGGTGTTTGCCTTGCATGCACCTGGTCGGAGTTCGATTCTCATCATCCCATATGGCCCTCCCAAGCACCGCCAGGAGTAATCCCTGAGCATCACTGGGTGTGACCCAAAAAGAAAGAAACAAAAGAGGTGGCTTTTGGGAGCCCCCTAAACCTCCCGCTTCTCCCTCTCACTTAGAAGCATCCAGAATCTTCCAGAAGGCTAGCCCCAGCCGACTCCACCAAGTAGCACACTGATCTCTCTCTGAACGTGGCAGGCACTGCTCTGTGTTCCCGTGAACATGAAGCAGGCTCTCCCCGAAGTGATTGATACCCCTATGCTCCCCAGGGCTCCCCTCTGGCCTTCCACCCTCTGGAGACCCCAGGCTGCCGCTGGTCCCCCAGGAATGTGTCTCCTTGAATCTTTCCAAGGGGCACTGCTTTCTCCCACAGCCTCTGGCCCTCAGGGTTCAATTTCCAGGCACCACACAGTCTCCCAAGACTGCCAGGAGCAACCCCAACTCCCACCCCCACAAAACCACCACCACCACCACCACCACCAAACTAGCTCCTAGACTCCTGAAAACTATGTGGGTTGCCAGAGGGAAAGGGGGACCAGAAGGAGAAATGGATAGAGGGAGCTTGGTTTGGTTTTGAGGGGGGCCACCCCTGGTGGTGTTCAGGGGATACTCCTGGCTTTGTGCTCACGATGGCTGCCAGTGATGCTCACAAGATTCCTGTGGCACCGGGGCTCAGACCTGAGGTTGCAGTGCTGCAGGGCCACGGCCTGAGCGTAGAGCCAGGTGGGTGGACCTTGCAGGGGCAGAGAGGTTTGGTCTGGAGGGAAATGCTCTGTGCTTTCAAATGGAGCAGCAAAGAAAACGCAGAAGAAGGAGCCACCGGTCCCTTAGGGTAGGTTAGACCTACCGTGGTGTGTGTGTGTGTGTGTGTGTGTGTGTGTGTGTGTGTGTGTCTGTGTGTGTATGTGTTGGGGGACCTGAGCAGAGAATAGAGGGCACAATTAACCTGGGCCTGTAAAGATGTGCAGATGCCACACATGTGCAGACACAAACACGTACAGACGCACACACTGGCCAACTCACCCAGACAGACACACATGCACAGGGTGCAGGCCTACCTACACAGCTGCAGCCATGAGAAAGCAGTACAGGTAATTGTCCACTTGGGGGCAGCACCATCTAAGGAATAAGCTTAGCGGCCCCTCCCCCACCCACCCACCCTGGTCCCTTACACCTGCGGTGAATCCGCCGCAACCCACCCACCGCTCCCTGCGCCTGCAACCTTAGGTGCAAACCTCCAGCGGGCGCAGGCTCCTGGTGGCATTTCACTTATTTATTTGCTGAACTATGTATGCACAGGCACTTAGGACAGAGCTGCTGCAGTGCCCAGGAAGTAAATCTGGGAGCCTTTTTTCTGGGTGCACTTGGCTTCCCAATAGACAACATTGCTTTCGGGGGGGGGGGGGGGAGGGACATTGATTCTTAAGGTTTTTTTTTTTAGCTTACTCTTTTTTTTTTCCTTTTGGGTCACACCCAGGGATGCTCAGAGGTTTACTCCTGGCTCTGCACTCAGGAATTACTCCTGGTGGTGCTCAGGGGGCCATATGGGATGCCAGGGATCGAACCCAGGTCGGCCGCGTGCAAGGCAAACGCCCTACCCGCTGTACTATCACACCAGGCACCAAAACTTACTCTTTTTTATATGTAAAACTCAGATACAGGCAAACATCTACAGCATCCAAACTCAGACACCACTGGGGGGGGGGGGCAAAGGGGGTGGGATGTCGGAGGGGTGGGAGCAACGAAACCAATGCAGGGCTGACCCAGGGTCCCACCCGCAGCGCAGGGACTCCCCTCCCACACACACCGTGCCATCCTGATGTGGGCAGGAGGAAGCCCCCCCACCCCGTCCCATCCCCCTGATGGCCCTTCTCCTGCTCTCCGTCTCTGCCTTCCTGCCCAGGTGGGTTTTCTTGCACGAGAAGGCGTACCAGGTGCGGGATACAGCCATTGAGTCCTCGGTGGTGACCAAGGTGAAGGGCTTTGGGCGCTATGCCAACAGAGTCATGGACGTGTCCGATTATGTCACCCCACCCCAGGTACAGTGTCCCCCCACCCCAGGGCAATCAAAGTGTGTCCTCAAAAGAGGCCCAGGCTGCAGGCAAGCGCCGGGGATTGCTGAGCTGACGAGCTCCCCGAACCCGGCCCCATCTGCCAGCTGCAGGAGGTGGGGGGAGCTGGGAGACCCCCGCACTGGGAGGTTTTTCTCTGGGCAGCACACAGGGCACTGGCCGGGCAGGGAGGGCAGTGGGAGGAGGCCAGGTTCAGACCCCTCCTCTCTGAGCAGCTCTGTGACCTTGCTATGATCTTGGCTCAAGCCGAGCCTCAGTTTCCCCAACTCACAGGCAGATCCCACTGCCTTTTCTTCTCGCACCCCCCCCCCCCATTCTCCTCCCCAGGGCACCTCTGTCTTCGTCATCATCACCAAGATGATCGTCACAGAAAACCAGATGCAAGGCGTCTGCCCGGAGGTAGGGCAGGAAGAGGCTGGATGAAGCAGATATTGGCAGAAAATGGGGTGGGGAGGGCAGGGGCAGAGAGGGTGTTGGCAGAAACTGGGGTCCTGGCTCCTCCCGCCAGGAGCCCCCATGGTGAGGTGGAGCTGAGGGTCCCGGAGGCCGCAGCCTGCTCACCCACCCACCTCCCCACAGAGCGAGGACAAGTTCCGCTGTGACTCTGACAGCAAGTGCACACCCAAGAGAGTTGCGGGCAGCGGTGAGTGCAGAACCCTCCAACCATCACACCCCCAAACAGCAGCAGATCCCCAGGGGAGTGGGATTTTCCAGCCTGGACAGACATCCAAGGCCACCAGGGGTGGGGGGTTCTGAGCTGGCAGGCATGACCCCTGCTCCCAGAGGGTGGGGAGGTGAGGGTGACAGACAGACAGGGATGCCCTGAGGTAGCCAGTTCTGTTCCATGGGAGCCCAGGGAGAGAGATAAGGTTTCTGGCCGAGTCATCCCAGAAGGCTTCCTGGAGGTGGTGACATTGGAGATGGACCTAAAGGCTGGACATAGAGGACTCCCGAAGCTCAGAGTTGGAGAAGAGTGTGCTGTACTGTGGGGGCTCCGGAACACAAGGGGTCCTGGAGTATCTGGGACAGGGACTGTCACCTCCCTTTGGTCTGGTCCCTGGCTTGGAGGAGGAAGGGGGATGGAAGACAGCTCTGGCTGGGCTAGGAGAAAAGGAAGGAAGGAAGGAAGGAAGGAAGGAAGGAAGGAAGGAAGGAAGGAAGGAAGGGAGGGAGGGAGGGAGGGAGGGAGGGAGATAAGGAAGGAGGAAGGGAGGAAAGAAGGAAGGAAGGTAGAAAGGAAGGGAGGGAGGGAGGAAAGAAGGAAGGAAGAAAAGGAAGGAAGGAGGGGGGAGGGAGGGAGGGAGGGGAAGGAGAGAAGGAAGGAAGGAAGGAAGGAAGGAAGAAAGGGCTGAGGGCTGAGAGTGGGCCTCAACTTGCCCAGGTCTGTGACAGAATGGGACTGGGGGTGGCCCTGGGGAGGAGGGGGCAGGTACCCAGCTGTGTGGCTCCCCCTGCAGGGATCCTGACAGGCCACTGCGTGAACTACAGCTCTGGGCTGCAGACATGTGAGGTCCAGGGCTGGTGCCCCACCGAGGTGGACACAGTACACATGTGAGATCCCCTGCCCAGCCGTCCCCCATATGGGTGACTCTGTGTCTCCGCAACTCCACGTCCCCGAGTCTCCAAGTCTCCCCGCTGCTGCCCCAGGGCCTGGCACGCAACCCCCACCCCCACACTGCCCACTCGCCTCCCCTGCCTGTGCCCTCCAGCCCTACGCAAGCCCCTCAGAGTCATCACTGGGAGGGGCAGGGATGTATGTGTGTGTGTGTGGGGGGGGGGGGGGTTCCGCCCGCGTCCCTCCTCCCCCGGCAGCTCTGGCTCCATTCCAGGCCGGTCATGATGGAAGCCGAGAACTTCACCATCTTCATCAAGAACAGCATTCGCTTCCCGCTCTTCAACTTCGAGAAGTGAGGTCCCCAACCCACCCTCCACCTGCCCTGGAACAGTTCTGGGCTCAGAGAACGCCTCCTGAGTTTGGATTGGGGCCCGGGGAGGGTGGCGGAGGGCTGGTCCTTTTGGAAAGTTTGGGGTGTTCTTCTTCGGCTCACACCCCACAGTGTCGGGGAAAGTGCCGAGCTGGACTGTGTCCGGCTGGGCTGGAACCGGCTCCTGCCTATGAAGCCCGGGTCGCTTCCCGGCTTCGCTCTCTCACCCGCCCCCAAGTTCCCAGGTCCTTGGATGCCCCCCCCCGCCGGGTGCCCCCCTCTTCCCAACCTCTCCCTTCTCCTGGTCTTGGGGTGCGAAAGGCATTGGCTGATGTGTAGCCAGGACTCTACAAGTCACCAGGCCTGGCTCCTGCCGTGGGCGCCCTGGGCCCTGAACAGGGGGCTGGTCGCTGTGAACCCCGCCAGCTTTATTTTTTTTAATTATTTTATTTTATAAGGTAATTCACAATATTTAATTACATTTAGTACTCAAACACCAATCCCACCACCATGACACCTTTATACCACCATATTTCGGGTGTTTTCATCCCGAACCCCAATCCCTGTCCCAAAGCAGAACTGAAATAACATATTTTGTAATTGTTTGTTATGGAAAAAAACCCTGAAAATTCTACCAAAAAAGTATCCTTAGAGAAAAGAGTGTGAAGACTGTTCTATTTCAACAGGGGTCATTAAGACCTTCTAGAAGAGATGACTAACATGTTGTTAAAGGTTGAGCCTTGTGTGCTTTTAATATATATATATATAACTGTAAAAAAATATATAGATTTGCCCCTTAGATTGGTGGCCTTCTACTTTGAACCCCACCAAATGTCCCACCAGCCTTATTCATCGTGGTGAGAGGATGATGGAAGTCCAGGGAAGGGCAGGGGCCCTGTGAGGGAGGTGGGATTTCCCCTCTTACACACACACACACACACACACACACACACACACACACACACACACCAGGGCTGGGCATTGGGGGCTCTGCCACAGGGGGGCCCCGGCCCTGCCCTGCTGGGAGTTGATGGTCTGTATTGTACCTGGCCTTGGCCCACCCCTCCCTTCCTCTCCCCTCCCCATCCCTCCCCTCCTCCTCCCTTTCCTCCTCTCTTCTCTCCTCCCCTCCCCTCTTCCCCAGGGGAAACCTCCTTCCCAACCTGACAGCAGAGGACATGAAGAAGTGTCGCTTCCACCCGGAAAAGGCCCCGTTCTGCCCCATCCTGCGGGTGGGCGACGTGGTCAAGTTTGCAGGGCAGGATTTCGCCAAGCTGGCCAGCACGGTGAGGACCTCTACCCCTTCCCGGGACAGAACCCGGGAGCCCAGCCCTTCTCTGGACCCCTGTGGAGTTGGGTGGGCTCCTGGTGCTGGGACTCCAAAAGAGAGCCCTGCACTGCAACAGCACCATCTGGTGGACGCGTTCTGCTCCTGCTTTGTGCATTGTAGTACCCGTGTCTGCCCTGCAGGGGTCTCACCTCCCCCGCGTCCCCCCTCATCTTCCTCTCCCATCTCCCAGTCCTGCAAGAGCCTGAACAGGGAAGGGGATCTGTGCTCACTTTCCCTCTCCTGGGCTGTAGCTCAGGGATTAAAGATATCAGAACCCCAGGCCTGGAGAGATCGAACAGTGGGAACAGTGCTTGCCCTGTATGTGGCCTGCTTGAATTCGATCCCGGGCACCCCCATATAGTCCCCTGAGTCTCCCCACGCGTGATCCCTGAGCACAGAACCAAGAGTAACCCCTGAAGGATCGGATCAACAGTATGGTGGGTGGGACATTTGCCTTACATATGGCCAACCAGGTTTTGATCCCCAGCACCCCGTATGGTCCCCCGAGCACTCCAGGAGTGATCCTTGCGTGCAGAGCCAGGAGTAAGCCCTGAGCATTTATGGTGTGTCCCAAAACCAAAACAAAGAGGAACCCTTAAGTCTTGCTGTCTGTAGCCCAACCCACTACCCCCCCCCACCTATGACATCCACAGCGGGGTTTAGAGGCTCAACTTGTCCATTTGTCAAGACTCTCCCCCAGGTCCCGTTCTAGCAAGATGGGGGGAGGGGAGCAAAGCACGCACTCAACTAGATCCTCTCTCCAGGGTGGTGTCCTGGGCATCAAGATCGGCTGGGTGTGCGACTTGGACAAGGCCTGGGAGCAATGCATCCCCAAGTATTCCTTCACGCGGCTGGACGGCGTGTCCGAGAAGAGCAGCGTGTCCCCAGGCTACAACTTCAGGTAAGTCCCTTGAGGCACCCCAACTCGCCAGGGCTTCCCACCCCACAGAGCCAGGTACTCACTGGACAAGGTGGGAAGCAGGTGTTTGTCTCAGGAATCACACATCATCTTCCCTCGGGTTGCTGCTCCGTCGGCGCCGTTCCAGTCAAGAGTGCAAACCTGTCTCTGCATCTCTGAGTCCCGTGCCCAGTGGCCTGAGATGTAAGACACCCCCCCACCCTTCCTCTCCCAGCCCCTCCATTGTGAAGCGAGGGAATGAACAGAACCCTGGGTGGTTGGGTTCTGTCTAGAAGTAGCTGTCAGCTCCTGACCTTGTCCCATCCCCACTTCCTTCTCTGAGGTGCCAGTACTGTCGTCGTTATCGGCTTGGCGTTCCTATGTCCAAAAAAGTGTTGTGGGCCAGGGACTGTGGGTCTCCTCCCTTGGTTTGAGAAGATGCTGCGCTTCTGGAGGGTTCTGATTGGTTTCACAGTGTTGCACACCAGACAAGTTAGATGGCCCAAAAACACAATGGTCAGGACTAAGGTGACCGCGTCAGATTCTACTGCATTCTGTGTTCAGATGTCCTTTGCTGTGGAGGAAGCGTCTAACATGATGGCAGGCCTCAGCAAGAGAAATAATAAGGAAAGGGGCCAGAAGAGAGCTCAGAGGGCTGGAGCTTGTGCTAATTTATGTGCAGGAGGCCCTGAGTTTAATCCTTAGCATCACATCATGCTCCTGGCACTGTTGGGTATCGCAACAATGGCTCGTAGCATTGCAAATCCTAGCATTGAAACTATCGGTCATGGTTGGCCGAATGTCACCGGGAGTGGCCCCCAGCCCCGCTGAGCACTTCTTGGGAAGAGGCACAAATAACAATCTCCACCCCCCCAAAAAAAGAAACTGCAGTTGTAAAAGGTATTATCTACCCCCCCCCATTCAACTTGATATTGAATATTTTCAATATATACATATATATACATATATGTATATCCTCGGGAAAGAAGAATTTTTTAAAATTGAAAGTGCTTTCATAATCGACTCTAAACTTTAAAAAATCATAGGAAACAACACATATTTTAAAGTAGGTTAAAAATACTGTTTGGCTCACTGGCAGAAATTGGCATATTTCTCCAGTTGGTACATCACACTGAAATCAATACAAAGGATATTTGTATGGTGCCTTAAAATAGCAACACATTAATAAAATTCTCTAGATCTGAAGTGCAGGTTTTCGTCTTCAGAACTCCCCTCTGGCCAGGGGGGGAACCCGCTGTCCCCCGAAATGCTGTATCTGGCAGGAAAGCTTAGGAAAGACGGTGGCCCCTGGCCCCAGTGTCCAACAGTCCCAGGACATCACTGGTCTTTGTCTCCAGCTTCTGAAACTAGCCCCCCACTCCCACCCCCTGCCTCACCGAGTCCAGGCGCTGCCGTATGGGACCAGTGTGCAGGTTCCGTGCGGGGTGACAGGCTGAGCTCTCTGAGGCCCCGTGCTTGTAACTGCTGGGTGGGGGGGCGGGGAGATAAGGGGCTGGTCTGGCCCAGGCCAGAGCCCTCACGTCTGTCCCCAAAGGCCCAGTGCAAACGGGACATTGGCCCAGTTCCCCCCTTTCATCTCTAGAACTTTCCAGGCTGGAGCTCTCTGACTCTCAGACTCTCACGGCCAGCAGAGGGCTCTGCTCCTCTCAAATCCCTCCGGGGTGGGGTGTACCCATCCATCCCTCCTCCTTTCCCCCCACCTCCCACCGCCTTCAGACTGCTGGCATCACCAGGCCCTTAAGCTAATCTAACGCCCAAGGCTGCGGCCTGCCGCCACCACCACGCAGAAGTTTCAGCAAGGAGGGGAAAGACGAGACACTGTGGGAATTCTGTGAGGCTTCTAGCACTGTAGCACTGTCCTCCCATTGTTCGTTGATTTGCTCAAGTGGGCACCGGTAACGTCTCCGCTGTAAGACTTGTTGTTACTGTTTTTGGCATATCGAATACACCACAGGGAGCTTGCCAGGCTCTGCCACGCGGGTGAGATACTATCGGTAGCTTGCAGGGCTCTCTGAGAGGGACTGAGGAATTGAACCTGGGTCAGCCGCATGCAAGGCAAACGCCCTACCCGCTGCGCTATTGCTCCAGTCTGAAGCTTCTAAGCTGCAGGAAATCAGGCCAAGTTCTCTCATTGTCTGCTGGGCTCAGGGTCTCTCTTCCACCCTGGAAGGCAGGAGTTGCCTTCCTCCCTCTTCCAAGCCAGGAAGCCCAGACTCTCGCAGGCTTCCGTGCATTTCCCCAGACTCTCAAGCCAGGGAGCCTGGGTGCAAACACATTTACTGGGACATTTTCCTCCCCTCAAGCAGAGAGAGAGGCCAAGGCCCATCGACCTGGCTGACCTCCAGGAAGACACGCCACTGTGGCTGACCCAGTCCTCTCTCCTTAAAGACCCCGAGGCAGAGCGTCTCCCAGCAGCTCCGGGCTCAGTGCTCAGTGACTTCCTGTCCCCCCAACCCGGGCTTTGCCTCCCAGCCGGGAAGAGGCCCACTTCTCTCCAGGGCCTGCTGCGTTGGCTGCAGAGGGAACGGAGCCCGGTGCAGCCAAATTCCAGTCCACACGCGGCCATCCAGAGGCAGTGCCCACGCGGGAGGGAGAGAAGGAGGGAGGGAGTGCCACATTCCCTCACTAATTGCTTCTGCGGCTCCTTTCCAAGCACCACCCTGGCCCCACCTGTCGTGGTCCTCCCTGCCGAGTCAGAGCTTTCCAGAAGGTTTAGCTGGTGAAGCCCCCCCCTCCCCTGCCCCCTGGAGACTGGGCGGGTGCGGAAGTGGAGCCCCCATCCTGAGATAGGACTTGCCCAAGGTCATGCGTGCAGTTTAGAGGTCACCGTCTCCCAACTCTTACTTCCCATCTCAGAGGCCAGGGGCAGCTTGACCCCGTGACCTGTCCACTCTGGCTGGTTCCTGCTGTGGACAGCTGTGGACAAGCTGGCCTGCCTCGGCCTGAGACTGATGATGTCATAGACTTGGGCTCGGGGGATCCTGGTGCCACTGTCAAAATTATTCTTGCAGGGAATCAGCCACACCCAGTGGTCCTCCAGGGCTACTCCTGGTGGTGTCCTGGGGGCCATTTGTGGTGCTGGAGGTCAAATAGGGTCTGCCACCTGCCAGACTAGTGCCCTACCCTGCCCCTGAACTGTCTCTCTGGCCCAGAAATGATTCTTTCTTTGTGCACCGTCCCACGACTTTTGCTCTATACCCTGCATCTGCATTTCGGTGTTTGTTTTAATTTTTTTTTATTGAATCACTGTGAGATAGACCCATACAAAATTGTTCATGATTAGGTTTCAGTCATACAGTGTTCCAACACCCATCCCTCCACCAGTGTACATTTCCCAGCACTACCAGTGTTCTCAGTTTCCCTCCCATCACTCCCCACCCCCCAGCCTGCCCACCTCTATGGCAGGCACTTTTCCTCTCTCCCTCCCCTCTCCCTCCTCCTTCCCTCCCTTATTCTCTCTCTCTCTCTCTCTCTCTCTCTCTCTCTCTCTCTCTCTCTCTCCTCTTTGGTCATTGTGGTTTGCAGTATTGATACTGAAAGGTTATAAAGAACATCCCTCTACCTACCTCTAACCCCTAGATCTTGTCCAGACTGATCATTCCCAGCTAATTTTGTCATCCTTCTCTATCTTACCTGGGCTGGAGCGATAGCACAGAGGTAGGGCGTTTGCCTTACAAGTGGCCAGCATGGCCGACCCGAGTTCGATTCCTCCGCCCCTCTCGGAGAGCCCGGCAAGCTACCGAGAGTATCTCGCCCGCACGGCAAAGCCTGGCAAGCTCCCCGTGATGTATTCGATATGCCAAACACAGTAACAACAAGTCTCACGATGGAGACATTACTGGGCCCGCTTGAGCAAATCGATGAACAACGGGAGGACCATGACCATGATCTCTATCTTACCTACCCTTAGCCCCCCCACACACTCGTGGTTAGGTCCAACCATTGACCAGTCCCCCGGCGGCTTTTATTTTGTCTCTGTTTTTAGTCTGTGTGGCTAAGATGGCATTTTAGGCTTGAACATGGCATTTTTCGCCCAGTGGATCTATTTTCAGTCATATTGGGGAGGAGGGGTGTGAAGAAGTGTCGGGGCGGGGGGAGGCATCCAGGGATACTTGGCCACCCAGGCTGGACATTAGTGTCAGGCTCGGCAGCGTGGGGGCTGGGGGCCACCAGGGCCATACCAGGTAGTGCTGGGGGTGGGGGGGAGGGACAGTGGTGGAGGGGCTCTCGAGGCGTCTGCTACAGGCCTTGCTTCCATGTCCCCAGTGCCAGCCCCTGGTGTGGTTTGTGGCTCTTCCCAAGTTCCCTGAGATCAGGTGACTGGGGGGCTTATTCCCATATGCGGTGTGGCATTTCTCGAGGACTTCAGAGTCATTCCAAGGGCACAGAGGTGATCAGACACCCCTCAGCAGTTCCCTCCCCCACCGCCCCCTGCCACCTGATCCCACGGTTCCCAGGAGCAGGCCCTTAGCCAGGGCACAGAAGAGTGACAGGCTGTGAGCGCACATGAACAGTGGCGTGTGGCGGTTAGTGAGCTCCTGCGTGTCCCTGTGTGTGAGGGTGAGCAGGGAACCCGGGCAGGCCCAGGCAGGCCTGCGACCCTTCACAGGTAACTGTGTGGAGGCAGAGGGAGCAACAGGGATCAATAAGAAACACGGTCCCTAGCAGGTCCCTGCCGGAAGCAGGTGGCACACGCCATTCAGGAGCATGTTTGAGACACTCGGATGAAAAGGCAGTTTCCAAGGGACACAGACAGTCCTGCAGCCACTGGAGACAGAGACACAGTGTGGATGACCGGATGCTGGGGACAGAGGAGCTGACAGTCTGATGTGACCGGAGTGGTGACATGAGGCAGAAAGGGGGTGGCTGAGGCTGTGTAGGGACAGGGACTGGCCATGGGGACAGTTCTGACCAGCCCCACTGGGGAGAACGCAGCCCTGGTCCCCTTTTAGGAGAGTGTTCCTTGCTTCTTATTCCTGATG